GGAGCACATCTCTCCCATCACCCTCCCCCTCGGGACGCCGGACCGGTGGTCGTCGGCGCCACGACCACCAGCCCTCTCGGTCGGCAGGCTATCCGGAGCCCGCCTAGATGGCGCCGGTTAGAATGGGTTATCCTACGGAATACCCCGCTGGGTCAAAACCAGCGTGGGTCGAGGATAGCCGGCCTTCCATCACCCGGATGCTCTTGCGTAAAACGCGTGCAGAGCAGCTTGCACGTCGTCTTCTTAGGCCCCCTTTGCCGGTCCCCAGACCGACGTGTAAAGGGGACCCGAAACACTTAGAGGGCCAGGGCTTGGGCGATATCCGCCTCCCTGGCCCCCGCTCGACGGCGGCGGGCTTGCGCGTCTCTCACGCGCCCCGCCGCCTCCTTCTGCGAGATGGTGCACTCGCAGAAGTCGAGCATCGCCTTCCACGACTCGTCGTCGCCGAACATCGATGCCACAACACTCGGCAACGACAAGTCGTTTCCTATTTTTGCGACGAGGACACGGCGCCACCCCTCCCATGCGGGGCAGGCAACGAGCGTGTGCTCTGCCGTGTCCAAGTCGCAACCACAATGGTGGCACTCTGCCGTCGGCTCGGCTCTGATCCGTCGCAGGAACTCACCGAAGCAACCATGCCCAGTGAGCACCTGCGTGAGCCGGAAAGTGAGGCGTCCTCTGTCACGATTCGCCCAGTCCACAAGGACTGGGCGAATCGCCTCGACGGTCCTACGACCAGCCGAAGGATCGGCCAGCCGCCTGGACCATGATTCCAGCACGGGATTTATATGCTTATGGGGTTTATAGTATTACCTATGGAGCCAACTGAGTTTCTCGCCGGATCTTCTCAGTGGGTCGCGTTTCCGATCCGGTGGTAGATTCTGCGAAGCACGGCTCTTGCTAGGGCCAGTGTTAGCAACGTCGTCAGGTTTGAGCCCCGTGAGCTCACCTACTAGTTAAGGTTACGTTGAAACAGCCTCTCAAGATTATCAGCTTAGGTAGGGGAAAAAAAAAGCGTCTTTAGATATATTAAGTTATTTACGGCGGTCTGGTGTAGTGGTAAATGACATGGTCACTACACAAGGGGGTCGCGGGTTCGAATCCTGCCAATGGAAGATTATAAGATAGAAATCAAACCCGCAAAATTATAATTTGCGTAATTACTGGTGGTAGGACCTCATGTGAGTCCGCACGGGTAGGTACCACCGCCCCGCCTATTTCCGCCGTGAAGCAGTAATGCGTTTCGGTTTGAAGGGTGGGGCAGCCGTTGTAACTATACTGAGACCTTAGAACTTACATCTCAAGGTGGGTGGCGGATGTCTATGGGCTTCAGTAACCACTTAATATCAGGTAGGCTGTGAGCTCGTCCACCCATCAAAGCAATAAATAAAAAAAAGGAAATATAAAATGTCTCTTTCAAGTTCAAGTTCTTTACGAATTTAGCACGGGACCAGTTAACGTGGCGTGATTGTAAGTTAAAAAAAAAAATGCCAAGAAATTGTCCAAGTTTTGGAAAAAGTAAAAGTCTGTAGATTTTTATTTTTATTTCTTTGATGGTTGGATGAACTCACAACCCTCCTGGTGTTAAGTGGTTACTGGAGCCCACAGACATCTACAACGTAAATGCACCACCCACCTTGAGATATAAATTCTAAGGTCTCAAGTATAGTTACAACGGCTGCCACGCCCTTCAAACAAACGCATTACTGCTTCACGGCAGAAACAGGCAGGGCGGTTGTATCTACCCATGCGGACTCACAAGTGGTCCTACCACCAGTACATTTATGGTATTTTTTTAATTTAATGGATGTGATGTTAGTTTAATTTTTGGATGGCCACGGGGTCATTCTTTTTATACGCGCCGTATCAACTGCTTTTTTCACCAGGCCCTAAACCCAACTGGATAACCAAAGCTTCTTAAGGCGATGGTCGCAATTAGTCGCGATTAAGCCGTGTACTGACACAGCTATTGGAACAATGCTGGTTGAATCAACATGCCAATGGCGGTAGACTGGTAGTGCCAGGTCTAAATATTATAGTAAAGTATCCTTCAAAAGTCATGGAAAAGGATGGAGGAGGTCTTTACCCAAATAAGGGTTCAAATCTCATAAATAGTACTTATATTAAATAATTAATTAATTATAAGTAACCTTTTAAAATTTAATCTACAACTTACTAACAAACATTGTGTTATATTAATAATTAATTAATTATAAGTAACCTTTTTAATTTTAAGCTACAACTTACTAACAAACATCACTACTTATTATAAAACAAAGTCGCTTTCTCTGTCCCTATATCCCTATGTATGCTTAAATCTTTAAAACTACGCAACGGATTTTGATGCGGTTTTTTTAATAGATAGAGTGATTGAAGAGGAAGGTTCATATGTATAATAACATCCATTAAATAGTGGAGAAATTAATAATAAATTACAGTTTCCGAAGCGAAGCGAGGGCGGGTCGCTAGTTGTGTTATAAATCGAGATTTGGATTAATGGCTTTATTATTATTATTATCCTTTTCTGCTTTCACGAGGTTCTCGTCATGAGAAATAGTGACATCAACCGACACTGCTCGACGCGCAAACCAATCTATTATCACAATGTCTTGCTTTTTGGCAACAATAGACCTATCCATGATAATCGATCGGTCCCAGTAGAGCGTAACATGACCATTATCAATTGGTTGAGGTTGGTAATAGTTGTAAGGCAGTAAATACAACAGGATCAACAAAATCGTGTTTAGATTATTTTTATCATTAGTATTGATGTATTTTTGGTAATAATATAACACAGCATAGAATATTCTAGTCAGAAAGACTAGATGAATGTGAGCTGACGTCCGACAGTGCAATTATCATGGTAATCGCAGAGATCCGTGTCGAAAACAAAAAGCCATATTCAGCAAACTTCCGTTTGGAAATCAACAATAAAATAAGAGAAAGTGCGTAACATAATAATTATCGTCGGTTGGATAGTTTTCGAGGTTATGTGTCAAAAACACCGAAATGTCAACTCTAATGTCAAATGAATGTAATTTATTTATGGAGGTAAAACTGAGGAGCGCACTCTCTGTTATAAAGAGTAGAATTATGGAACGCCAGTTAAGTGTATTAAAAAGTGTCCCCTGAAAGAGAGTCAATTAGGTGGGGCCACAGTAGGAGGTGGAAGGATTTTATAAACAGCGCCATAAGCTTGTCATTCTCAGCGGGTCGCGATTCCGATCCGGTTGTGAATTAATTCGCGAAGCAGTTACTCTTGAGTTGTTAGGTCCCCTTCGGAGCTGTTAGCAAATCCCACCCCTCCTGGCTGAGCCTTTGCTCGCCCAACTGTCCTGGTGAAACCGGAGAGGCTGCCGGGCCACCAGTAATCCTCCATTCGAGGGTCAACTTACTTCAGACTGTGAAGTAATCTGTTTTTTTGTTTTTGAGCCCAATTAATCAATTAATTAGTTATACCTATGTAAGAGTAATAATAAACACACATATACAATACAAGATGCATGCGCACGCACACACATGCACACACACGCATAATGACCTTCTTAAATGATAACACCTAATGATCTCTCAACACTAGTCCACAGCATCTGTTCACGATTTAACCTAACCTAATCTATCTTATAAAGGAGGGAGCCTCGCAATCAGTAATACAGGTCTTTGAACCTAGTACAGACTTCAGCTCTTTCAAAGGCTTACAAAATAAATTGTAAGGTTAATTTCCATTTGTATTTGTACTATACCTTTAAGAGCATATTAAGTGTATAATCTATGTTTAAGAGAGACATAAATTATTATTATTATTATTCATATATATAAAAATGAATTGCTGTTCGTTAGTCTCGCTAAAACTCGAGAACGGCTGGACCGATTTGGCTAATTTTGGTCTTGAATTATTTGTTAAAGTCTAGAGTAGGTTTAAAAGGTAGATAAATATTATAATTCTCGAAATTAAATAAAGTTTGGGTCTTTTATTTATCGATTGAGGCACTACGAAGTCTGTGCCGGGTCAGCCAGTTATTCATAAAAAAGGTAAGTTAAAATAAAACAGTTGTATTTTTTTATAAAAATATTTTTATGTACAATATTCCAAGTGCGTGTATTTATCAGATAGGGTCTGCACCAGCTCCTGTGCAGTGCACAGCTGCGTCGCGCCGTCGATGGTCACTTCGTATCTCGGGGGATTACTGCTTGATTCTTTACCGCACGCTATTACTATCGGATATCCCATTCTGTGAACGAACATCAAGTTTCTATATCCATATATAACTAACATAGCCCCGCTAACTGTTGAAATCTATATACAGGGTGGCCCATAAGTCCTTTGAAAAGTAAAATTTGAATAAAACGAACAGGGCGCGCGTGAGCGGTGCAGGGGAAGCGGGGGGAGTAACTTCGGTTTCTGGGAATTTAGTCGCGATGGAGCGTTTTACCGGAGCGGACCGTGCGTTTTGTGTGCGCGAGTTTTATAAAAACGACAATTCGGCAACCGTTGNCCGCCGGGTACCGTCCCATCGTGTTGCTGGATGAGGTGGGCAAGCTGCTGGAACGCATTCTGGCAGCCCGCATCATCCAGCATCTGGTCGGGGTGGGACCCGATCTGTCGGCGGAGCAGTATGGCTTCCGAGAGGGCCGCTCAACGGTAGACGCGATCCTTCGCGTGCGGGCCCTCTCGGAGGAGGCCGTCTCCAGGGGTGGGGTGGGGTGGCTTTGGCGGTGTCGCTCGACAAAAAAAAAAAAAATGTTAGAAACGCTGTTAAAACAGCGATTGGAAATATGCAAATGCAATGGATGCAAATTGTCCGACAAGATTTAGATTTAGATTGGATTTTCGTGATGTTATATGGTTAACATATTTTTATTAAGTAGGTTTTCCCCCACAAAAACAGTCAAGGTACAAGCCTTTATTATTCATACTTTATGCACCATAGAATTAGCACTTTACAGATAAATGTATTTCAGATTTGAGGAATTTGTGGCCGAAATTCGTCATAGTGTATCTGACATAACGATAGCGCGTAATGTGAGACACGGATGAGTATTATTACTGTGTAAAAATGCAATCCTTGGACGAAATAGTGCAGAGTTAGTGGCTTTTGAAATTTTTAAGTTCACCTGCGAACCATGGAACCCGGCTCGAAGGACCACATGAACGGTCGGTTAGTTCTTTTGTCGTCTATTTTATGTACATATGAGAACGGTCAATTCGTTGTCGTCTGGTTCGTGTCCGTGTTGTGGACGTCAAAAAAAAAGTACTGCCTGCCGCTAGTCACGTCCGCCCTCGTTCCATTTCTCTCTTTATTTTTGAATTCTTGTCAAGTGTCTTAGCCTGCGTCTAGTCTTTGCAGTGTGGTGTGGTTTGGTCACGATAGATTAGAAGAGTTGAAATAATACGTTCATTCAGTTTGAAGGTTCGGTTTATTGCTTAAAAAGGTATATTTAGTTACAAGACTGTGAGACAGTAGTGCTGAAGATAAGCACTTTAAATAAGACTCTATACATACTTGAATGGTTACACACTACAGTAGGTCTTTATCCCCTCAAAGAGGTTGCACGCCACGACAGGACGTGACGGCGAAGGATTAGTTATTTGGTCTCATTTCTAGACTGGTATTGTCCGGAGTAACACCGCAGACGGAAGCGCAAAGCGGAGCCGCCTCGAACCGACTCGTGACACATATTTTGGTAAACAGTCATTACTAAGAGTTGCAACATTACCTTGTATTAGTTGACCTAGACGATGACCGGTTTTTTTTTGATAACGCCATCTTGTTGTGTCTTCAAAGCAGTTAGTTGCTCTCAATAGTATTATTATTCTCCAATAGATATCGAGAAGAGTCATAAAGTTCATTATCGATAAAGTTGATTATTGAAAACACGAACAAAACAACATTTCTGAAAATAAATCGTAGCTAGATCGATTTTTCGCCCCCGAAATCCCCTGTATACTAAATTTTATGAAAATCGTTGGAGCCGTTTCCGAGATTCAGATTATATACATTAATATACAAGAATTGTTCGTTTAAAGGTATAAGATAAGATACAATCGAAGACCTTTTCGTTTTGAATGTCTGCAGTTATCTACTTTACATTATTATTGTATTGCAAACAGTATTATTTAAAGGATTATACCACGAATTTTAGTTTGAATTCAATAAAACTATGCAACTAACAATAGCCCTTTAAATAAATAGTGTTACGCCGGTAAGAGCAACGCCATCTCATCAAATAGCGGAAACACATATCGAAACTACTCGACCTGTCAGGAATGTTCTCGAAAATACTAGGCATGTCGTATCGACTACAAAAGCGTTGCAGAGATGGCACGAAGACAGTTAGTAATCGGATCCAATCGAAGCGAAACAGTGAACGGATCATCTGAAGCGAAGCGGAAGAAGTGAATTACGAAGTGTAAAGTATTCTGTGAGTGTTCTAAGTGTTGAATAGAGTTTTAGTTTGTACTTTGGTTGAACGTTAATTTATGCCGAACCCCAGCGCGCAACAATATGATTCAACAGAGACTTTGATGTCTATGGATTTCGGAATTTAATGTAAGCTACAATATAGGAGGTAAGAGGGTAGAAGAAAGAAAGTGTATTAAAAACTTTCCGCTGAAATTGAGCCTATTAAAGTGGTGTCACAGAGGTCAGTGGAGGGATTTTATAAACAGCGCCATATATCTGTCATTCTCAGCGGGTCGCGACTCCGATCCGGTAGTAGATTTATTCGCGAAGCAGCTGCTCTTGAGTTGTACGGTCTCTTTCGGAGGCGCTCGGGCAGCTGTAAACAAATCCCATCCCTCCTGACTGAGCCTTTGCTCGCCCAACTGTCCTGGTGAAACCGGAGAGGCTGCCGGGCCACCAGTAATCCTCCATTCGAGGGTCAACTTACTTCAGACTGTGAAGTAATCTGTTTTTTTGTTTTTGAGCCCAATTAATCAATTAATTAGTTATACCTATGTAAGAGTAATAATAAACACACATATACAATACAACATGCATGCGCACGCACGCACACACACGCATAATGACCTTCTTAAATGATAACACCTAATGATCTCTCAACACCAGTCCGCAGCATCTGTTCACGACTTAACCCAACCTAATCGAGATCTGGAGGAGACTGGAGATCAGTAATACAGGTCTTACAGACTTCAGCTCGGCTTACAAAATAAATTATAAGATTAATTTCCTTTTGTATTTGTACCTTTATGAGAGAAATAAATTTTATTATTATTATTATCTATACTTAATATTATACAGCTGAAGAGTTTGTTTGAACGCGCTAATTTCAGGAACTACTGGTCCGATTTGAAAAATTCTTTCAGTGTTAGATAGCCCATTTATCGAGCAAGGCTATAGTCTATATAACATCACGCTAAGATAAGAGCACTAATAAATAATGTTTCAAAATCGGGTTATTTTTCCCTTTTGAGAGCTTCCTCTGCGTGCGCTGCAGAAACGGTTAAAGTTTCGCTAAAATAATGTATGACAGAATTGTTACCCTTTAAAATATCTAAAAAAAAGTCCGCGGCAGCATATGTCTGTATGTTAAAACCTTGGCTCACTATAACGTTTTTTATGCTAACCAAATTTTGTTCTAAAATAAAGCATTATTTGTGAACTATTCCACGCGGACGAAGTCGCGGGCAAAAGCTAGTTATTCATAAAAAAGGTAAGTTAAAATAAAACAGTTGTATTTTTTAATAAAAATATTTTTATATACAATATTCCAAGTGCGTATATTTATCAGATAGGGTTTGCACCAGCTCCTGTGCAGTGCACAGCTGCGTCGCGCCGTCGATGGTCACTTCGTACCTCGGGGGATTGCTACTAGATTCTTTACCGCACGCTATTACTATCGGATATCCCATTCTGTAAACGAACATAAAGTTTCCATATCCATAGCCAACATAACCCCGCTAACTAGGGTTGCCAGATTTTGTTTCAGCCTATAATGGGCAAATGCTTAAATAGGCAAAAAAATACGGGAATTTAGTTTTTTACCCGGGGCAAAAATAAAACAAATTACACAACTTCACTCCTCACGTTCCCGCCAAAAAGTCCGGTACCAGATACTGACACATACTTATACAGCTTTTTTATTAGAGGGATTTTATGACCTTTAGGTCAAGTCTTATTTTAATTTTAATGTAATTTTTTTTTTTAATAACGAAAACGAAATGAAATGAGATGATATGGGATAAAATAAAATCTCAGTAAAATGGTGGTCATTTGCTGAGACTTATTCAGTGAGCTTTTTGGAGGACCCCGAGAAGCTACATCTAGCGGCTTTGTTTTTCATTTTCCCACATTTGTGCACTTTCACAGATAGTAAACAGTTAATAAACCACCGTTATTACACATTTAAACCTGAAGAAACACTAAATAGACAAAATAAAATAAATCACACAACTTCACTCCTCGCGTTCCCGCCAAAAAGTCCTTACATACGTTTAAATATATACATATATAGATAATAAACAACCAGACGAAGAGGAAACAAACCTGTTTATCCCACGAATGTTTGCCCGATCTGGGAATCGAACCCGCGACCCTCGGCGCGACAATCAGGAACGCTAACTACACTATTGTTAGTCAGATTCGTTGAAAATGTCAAATTCACTCACTTATCAGCCATGAGCAATCTCTTTCCGATGGTGAGGCCGTGGCGGTCGTCGACCAGCACATCGGACCTCAGAGCCGGTACACTATTCAAAGCATCGTAGACCAACTTAACCTGGTCCATGCCGTGATCATTCCATTCTTTGGAGCCTTCCTGAAAATTTCAGACCCCAATGGGTGAAGGAGCTCACGGCTCAAACGCCGTAAAGTGGTTACTAGAGCCCATGGTCATCACAGAGCGAATGCCAACCGCTCTGAGGGAGTAGTACCAATTGTGTACTAGGCATAAATAGGCAGGGTGGTGGTACCTACCCGTGCAGACTCACATACTAGTTATACGTCGGCTGCACGCACGAAGAAGTGTCACGTTCCGCCTGAGCTTGAGCGTACGAGCGAGAGCGCGGATCAAGCAATAGAGAGGTACGATCGGCCCAAGAGTTGGCTTGTGACGCATTTATCTATCTTCTCGCGTGACGTCACAGCTAGCAGTTCGAATAATTCCGCTAATGACGTCATCACGTAACACTATCGTCCGTTAACCGACTTTACAAACAACCAATATTGTTTAAATAATTGTAAATAGACATGTTTTAACAAAAACCGACTTCAAATAGAAAAAAAAAACGATATTCCAAAACAAATTAATATACACTAAAACAATAATCATCGAAATCGGTTGGCGTGATATCGAGTTATTGATTTATTCATCTATTTGTCGCGCACGTACTTAATGCCAATTTAAGACTTATATGGTTTTCTCATGGATACCATTATCAGAACTGGACTGAAATGGGACCACACGGGAAGGGTCAGCTTTCTAATAAAAACAGAATCATAAAAATCGATTCACTCAGTCAAAAGTTATGAGGTAACAAACATAAAAAAAACATACAGTCGAATTGAGAACCTCTTCCTTTTTTGAAGTCGGCTAATAAATCAAAATGAAACTAAACCTTGAACATTCAGTGAATAAAGTCGAATTTCATTGGGAGAACACTGGTTAAATAAAAAAAGTAACTAATATCGTTTACAAATTTAAATAATTAAACCAAATTTAACAATCTTCAGGTCAAGGTAAACACCAACTCGTGACGTCATAAGTGGCTAAGTGAATGCCTTTGGCCACAAATGACGTCATAGCTAATGATGTACAACACACGTGCGCGCAATTTTCCAAATTAAGTGACGCCCGTGTTCTTAACTGATTATAACAGTTCATAGATGTTGCCACGAGATCCCAATCTTGACATGTGAGGTCGAATATTCAATAACCTCATATAGTGGCCGTGTCACTAGCAGTAGCTCTGTGGCGATCTTATATAATGTTTAGGCATAATGGTTAATAGAATTAACAATACAACCATTTCTTGACATAATTGATGGCATAAAAACAATTCATTCAGATATAATTACCTTGGGCCCAATGATGATTGCCGAATACGGGGCTATAGCTTTCGGCCAACGCAGAGCTTTCTCGGTTGATAAAGCTTCTAAGCTCGCCGCCAATAACCTTCGAGGAAACGTGTTGTATTACGGTGACAAGTATCACAAACTGCAACATGGCGCCATTCAAAAAAAATAGAAGGGTTTTCATTTAAGTAAGCCATTCTGTTGAGAAGCAGCTGTATGGACCTTTTTTATATTTTTTTATTGTCTTTGTAGGCAGACGAGCATACGGCCCACTTGATAGTGAGGGGTTACCGTCGCTCATGGACATCAGCAATGCCATGGGCAGAGCCAAGCCGCTGCCTACCATTGAGTACTCTCCGCAAGCCTCGTTTGAAGGACATGTCATAGCGCTCGGGAAACATCGTGAGGGGGAGCTCATTCCAAAGCAGTATGGTACGTGGCAAGAAAGATCTTTTGAAACGGAGTGTGGATGAACGCAGCAGTTCCAGATAATATGGATGAACTCTGCTCCGTTGGCGTTAGGTGTGATGGTAAAAAGGAAATGAGGGGATCATCTCAAATCATTCGTCTGCTCTGCATGTTGGGTGATGAAGGTAGGGCATGCGGTCGAGATGCGGATATTCAGATGGAATGTGTATAGTAACAAGAATGGTCAAGATCACGAATGAGTATATCACACGAAGAGTGAAAATAGACTCGGTGACTGATAAATTAAAAAGCGGACGGTTAGCGTGGTATGGACATGTGATGCATAGAGAGGAGATGCATGCGACTAGATGTATGGAAACGTTAGTGCAAGGTAGAGGGGGAAGAGGTCGACCGAAGATGTCATGGATGGAGTGTGTGAATGACGATATCAGAGAGAGAGAGGAGTGAGTTTTGAGATGACAACTGATAGAGGAGAATGGAAAAGAAAAGCTCGCTGTGGGACCCCACCTAGTAAGGTGGAGACAACGAAGAAGATTCTTCTTTTTTTTTATTGCCCTTGTAGGCAGACGAGCATACGGCCCACCTGATGGTGAGCGGTTACCGTCGCCCATGGACTTCAGCAATGCCAGGGGCAGAGCCAAGCCGCTGCCTACCAAGATTCTGTTTAGAAGCCACTGCAAAGATTTAAAGAAACTTGCGAAACCTTGTGATGCCGATGCCGTAACACGACATGATGATGGGCAGGGGGGGCCCCGAGGGGGGGCAGTACGTCGCCTCCAGAGCCTCACTGTACTTCGTGCCCAGGATGAACGTGTGGCCAACCTGACAGTGACACAAGGCGCTTCGATAATCTACCTCTGAATGTTCCACACTCAAACAGAAGCAGCAGAGGCCCATGATGATGAGGGGCTCGTAACGAACTGGTGGTAGGGCTTGTAAGTCCGCACGGGTAGGTAGCACTCTGCCTATTTCTGCCGTGAAGCAGTAGTTCGGTTTGAAGGGCGAGGCAGCCGTTGTACTGTTAAAAGTGAGACCTTTCAACTCATGTCTCAAGATGGGTGCCGGCATTTACGTTGTAGATGTCTATGGGCTCCGGTAACCACTTAAACTTAGGTGGGCTATGAGTTCGTCCACCCATCTAAACGATAAAAAAAATGTTGACCTCGTTTTGTTGTCTATGGGCTTTTATAGCCAGTTAACTCCCATTGACTGACCCTAAATGCGTCATGTATCCACGACCCATGTTAAAGTATTTCCCCACAATAACTAGTCAAGTCTTCCCGTGCACAGATTCATTCGAGCCCTCACTCAGAGACCCTGGCTTGAAGCGGGACTCCGAAAACACTTCAACTTGTACTGAAATATTGTGAAGAACGCGCCAAGCGTACTATATAATTAAAATTTCAACTTCATGTCGAAAGCAATAACAAAAACATTGTCATCGTTAAATAGTTTTACTGGTGGCAGGACCTCCTGTGAGACAGCACGGATAGGTACCACCGCCCCGCCTATTTCTGACGTGAAGCAGTAATGCGTTTCGGTTTGAAGGGTAGGGCAGCCGTTGTAACTATACTGAGACCTTAGAACTTATATCTCAATGGTCGGTGGCGCATTTACGTCTCAGATGTCTATGGGCTCCAGTAGCCGCTTAACACCAGGTGGGCTGGGAGATCGTCCACCCATCTAAGCAATAAAAAAATCGTTAATTCTGAACACGAATCCACAATTTATTGCGCACTTTTCATTTTTTGGGCAGGGGGTCAAACTCCTTGCGAGGTCCCCCCACCGAGGACACGCGTCTTGTATGTGGGACTACCACTCCTTGAAAAACCCCTTGCGCCCTCGCCCAGGCGACTCTGACACCGAACCCTGGCAGGGTAGGGGGTTTACCACCTATTCATTACTAAGGAAGTTTCCGGCTCACGGGACGTCATCTTATGACCATTTCTTTACGGTTGAAGCAGACCGTTTATGGAATGCACTACCCTTAAGCATCAAACAATCGTCCTCGCCGGAAATTTTCAAGATCAGATTAAAATCGCACTACCTTGCACAATAATATGGCTCCTACGATATAACTGTACAAGTTGCTACTTATTTGGTATTTACTTGCATATTTTTAGTATTTTTTTTGTATTTAATCGTATGTAAGTCTATCTTATATTGTATTTATTTTTCACGTGTGTATTTAATATATATTTTTATGTAAGTTTATTAAGATATAGCACCGTCCGGTTCGCTTATTCCTCTCCCTGCAAGGTTGCCTGGAAGAGATCGCTTTCAGCGATAAGGCCGCCAATTTATATCACCGACTATTATTTGTTTTATTAGCTTACTCTTTACATATGATGTTAAATAAATAAAGTGTATAGTTAGGGAAGATACAATCTAACAAGCCACCTCTATACTTTGCAAGATTTCCGCGTCCTTCCCACAGCTCTGGCATCTCGTTCCCTCATCGTTCAAGAGCGCCGCGTGCGAGCAGGACGGGCAGACTTTTATCTGGTCTTCGCCCGAGGTCGCCGCGAGCTGCCACTCGTGCGAGAAGCTTCCTCCCATATCGCCCGACGGAGCTTCGACTGGAAGCAAGCTTTGAGCTTTTACAACTCCTATGACCTTTCTGACCTTTTCGGTAGGCAGCGGCTTGGCTCTGTCCCTGGCATTGCTGAAGTCCATGGGCGACGGTAACCACTCACCATCAGGTGGGCCGTATGCTCGTCTGCCTACAAGGGCAATAAAAAAAAAGAATTCCGTCTATGGAGAAGCTCATATCGACGCTTGAAAGGCAAACGTGACTAAGCGACAATAGCTGCTTTGTACATAAATGATAGCCAATAACCATATTCGATGCGCAAAACAAAAATATATTTCTAGGTTTATTAAAAGCATTTCAATCCAACAGCTAGATTCGTTAAAATAGATTTTTTTTCAGGTATTTCAACTTTAAATTGGTCTACTGTAAAGTTCACGCATTGTCGCTTAGTCACGTTTGCCTTTCAAGGGTCGATATGAAGTAAGTCGCAGGCAGCTACCAGTAAGGGCTTTAGGTTAAACGTTCCCTATCCGTTATTTTTTTGCTTAGATAGATGGAAGATCTCACAGCCCACCTGGTGTTAAATAGTTACCCGAACCCATAGACATCTACACTGTAAATGCCGCCACCCACCTTGAGATACGAGTTCTAAGGTAAGGTATAGTTACAACGTCTGCCCCGCCCTTCAAACCGAAAGGCATAACTGCTTCACGGCCGAAATATGCAGGGTGGCGGTACCTACCCGTGTGGACTCACAAGACGTCCTACCACCAGTTAAATCCGGTTGGTAACTCTTCAATCTGCTGGTATCAGCAACCGCTACAATCGCCTGACGATGATGTGGCTACGCTGCCAGTCAACTCAATCACCTTTGTGCACTTTCAAGTGTAGGGCGCGGAATAGATGCTCGTAGGCGGTTGCCATCCGTCCGTAGACCTGGAGGGCGCAGGCCGAGGAGGCGTGCGCTCCGTACGCGTCCAGCATCGAGAACTCCCTCGCCCTGAGCAGCCCGTGTTTCGGCCGCAATTCGTCCCTGTATTTATTGCTAATCTATAATAACAAAAGTGGGCGTGGTGAAAAGTTTTACTGGTGGTAGGACATCTTGTGAGTCCGCGCGGGTAGGTACCACCGCCCCGCCTATTTTTGCCGTGAAGCAGTAATGCGTTTCGGTTTGAAGGGCGGGGCAGCCGTTGTAACTATACATGAGACCTTAGAACTTATATCTCAAGGTGGGTGGCGCATTTACGTTGTAGATGTCTATCGGCTTCAGTAACCACTTAACACCAGGTGGGCTGTGAGCTCGTCCACCCATCTAAGCAATAAAAAAAAGTCGTCTTTTCGCATTAAAAGTGTACAATTTCACAAAAATATACGAAATTTTGTTAACATGCGGAATCATTTGGTATCACCAGTATTTTTCTGTTTTTTTTTTTTTAGGTTACCTATGTTTTGACTACTAAATATTAAAGAAATTAATACATCATTTTATCTTACTTTAAAAGACAGATAATGTAACTGGTAAAAAATAAAAAATAAACGTTGCAAAGATGGATAACTATTAAAAATATCACATGTTAAACCTTTAAAGCACTATTCTTTAAAATTAGTAAGTTTTGAGATTATCTTATACCTTTAAACGAGCAATTCTTGTATATTAATATATATGTATATAATCTGAATCTCGGAAACGGCCAACGATTTTCATAAAATTTAGTATACTGGGATTTCGGGGGCGATAAATCGATCTAGCTACGATTTATTTTCAGAAAATGTTGTTTTATTCGTGTTTTCAATAATCAACTCTTCCCGACATCTATTGGCGAATAATAATACTATTTTTCTTAATTGAGGGCAACTAGCCGCTTTAAAGACACAACAAGATGGCGTTATCAAAAAAAAACCGAGCAAAGCTCGGTCATCATTTAGTACAGTTTTAGTGCGAGAAGACAATATGCCGTCGCCCTGACAATCGGTGGGGCGCAAAAGTACTGGAGTGGAGACCTCGTACTGGACGTCGTAACGTGGGCAGACAGCCAACGAGGTGGACCGATGACCTGGTCAAAGTAGTCGGTAGAGATTAGATGAGAAAAGCAAGAGACCGAAGAGAATGGTGTGCATTCGAGGAGATATAAACTCAGCATTGGGTGGACACGGATTGAAGAGGAGAATCACAAAACGATATTGTTACGCCGGTAAGAGCGACGCCATCTATCGCCGAATAGTCGAACGAATATCGAAGGATCCAGCTGCACCTAGAACGTTTGAGAAGTACAACGCCATCTATTGTCAGATAGCTATATATGTGAGCCTATCCTTAAGTACATGTATTTTTTACATGGATATCAAGTTTTAAGTCAATCGGATGCACGGTTCAGTAGTTATAACGAAACATCCGTAAAAACCACTGTAGATTTATATTATTAGTGTAGATATAGATTAAATCACTAAGAAAAGTTTAATTTTACCTGATATAATATAATCGGTAGTTGCTTGTATGAGATCGGCTTGAGGTCTGACAATAACTCCGCGATTGCCTCTTCGTATGTCTGCAAGGATACAATAGAAACATAAAGAAAAAAATAAGTTGAACAACAACCTAAAAACAAACACGCATAAATCGTGATGCCAAATTGAAATACTTACTGGTGGTAGGACCTCTTGTGAGTCCGCACGCGTAGGCACCACCACCCTGCCTATTTCTGCCGCGAAGCAGTAATGCGTTTCGGTTTGAAAGGTGGGGCAGCCGTTGTTACTGTATTGAGACGTTAGAAGGTGGGTTGCGCATTTACGTTGTAGATGTCTATGGGCTCGAGTAATCACTTAATACCAGGTGGGCTGTGAGCTCGTCCAGCTATCTAAGCAATAACAAAAAAAACTGCTATTTTATCATCTTCGTATTCCTAGTTATCTCCAATTGATGTCCAGTGGGGCCGATCCGTTGACACCTGTATGCAACATGACCTAGCGATTTTCATCAGGACGTCGGTCCGTCTTGTAGGTGGCTGTCCCAGACTGCGCTTGTCAGTACATGGTCTCCACTTGAGGATCTTTCTGACCCATCGGCCGTCTGACCTCAGCTTGCTGATGCAAGTTAGGATATTACTAATAATAAACTTTATGATTCGTCACAGAGCCTTGATACTTGTGAAGGAAAAAATCAAATAATCTGATGTTGTAGTCTGTGTTTATAATGTTCAAAGATCACAGACACAGATATATGCAGCTACAAGACAGTAAAAATGTGATATGAAAATCAATATTGAATTGTTAAGCTATTTAGAGTAACTCTAAATTTCGTAAGCGAACGGCAGAGGTCAGTGACCAGACGACCCTCTTAAATCTCATATTGATTGGAAGCAAAGCTTATTGTTATTTCAAAGCGTGTGAGACTGCAATTTAGCATTTCAAAGATGGAGCATCAACATTGTGGTTTCTAAGGCATGTGCTAACTTAAAGGGATACCATATATTTACTTAAATTTAAGCTTGGCTCTGCTTTTTTAGCTTACCACAGCTGAACTTTACCGAATCTCGGTTAAAATAAATATAGGATATTACCTAAGAGATTCTTAAAAAAATCATACCGGAGCCAACAGATATTTTTTGTTGTGTCTATCTTCCAGGGTCAATAGCTCTGCAGCAGCATTCTCCAGGCGGCCAGTCTTCGCCCACAGCCCCGCTGACGTGAGAGCCGGCAATGACAGTCTTTGCGCTCCAGAAGATTCTATGCAGGTTTTAATGAGGTTCTCAAGTTTATCCAGTGCTCTACGTGCCAAGGGGAGAAGAGTGAAGAAGCCAGATGTAGTTGGGCGGACTAAACCACATTCTAGTAACAGCTGTAATTACACGTATTATCATCTTCACTACTGAAGCAGTCATGTATTTCAGTTTAAAGAATGCGCAGTCAATGTACTGAAGAACTGAGATTTAGAACTCATGTCTCAAGGCGAGTGGCAGCAATTATCTTGTTGGAGTCTATAGACTACGGCAAATAGTAACACCTAGTAGGCCGTGAGCTTGTTCACTCATGAGCAATAATAAGGCAAAGGCATGGAAATTATTATGGCTAAACTTTCCTTTTGGGTCCGTCGATTTGGAAGTTCACAATAGTTTTGTAGATAGTACTCACAAATAAAAAGCTTTTTGCAAAATTTCAAGTTGCGGTGACTCATGGTTTACGAGATATAATTTTTTAAAGTTTCCGTAAGTATTAGAAAAATCGTTAAGGGAGATTTTACATTTGACGTTTCACGTTCCATTCACGGTAAGCGTGTATTTTGTTAAATTTTATGTCATGTTTTTACCGAAATATATTTTATTATTTTAATATATTCACATAGTAAATTTGTTGTAATTAATGTGCATTGTAATTGTTTCTGTAATAAGCAATTATATTGACTTTTTTACACAAAAAGTAACAAAATTTTATTACATTAAAATTTGTCATAAAATCATTTGGCCTTTAAGGATAAGAACTTCAGCAATGAAATATGCGACTAAGGAGAAGAAAATCATTTGTGACTTTATGTTGCTTAGGGTAATCATCTTAATGGATGCAACTACACTAGTATACAAATCCCATATGTCATATTATTATATTGTTTTACAGAAGTAGTTAACACATATTCAAGAAATACTTCCACGATGAAGGACTAACATAATATAATAGAATCTAGCAATACAAATTTCTCATAATAGGCCATTTTACATATTATGTGTATTATTAATACCACCATTTTAATACATCTTTGAAGGTTGGGAAGTAAATTGAATCTTCGATCTCATGATGTTTGAAGATGAAGCTGAGATGTTCGTGTCTATGGGCTCATTCATTAAAATAGTTTAAAATAAGGAAATTGATGGGAAATAAAAAATAACTAGATTCAATTAGTTTATAAAGTATGTGATGACAAAAGGTTTATTTGTTAGCTTATATTGGCTAGTAAGAACAATGATAAATATATTGTAATAATAGGAGTTTTAGGATAGTCGGTCTGAAAATAAAACCGCTTTTTTCGTGAAAATTTCAAATTAAAAAAATAAACTTACCTTCTGACTTTTACATGTTATTTCCGTGTTCTTTATCTTAGCATTCTTTGGTATTGTTATAACTGGTTGAAATATACGAGATAAATATCTCATTGTGATATGAAATTTAGTTTTTATTGGGTTTTTTAATTAATGGTTTTTAAAAATGATTAATTTTATGAGGTTATGTTTACCAGTTGTTTGACAGTTTTGCGTTTTGTAAATGCTAATACATATAATATAAACATAGATTTTATTTTAAATGTTAGTAATTCATCTCGCGAATTGTATTGAAATAATTAATTTTACGAAGAGGGTAGAGGTCAAAAGCATCACTTTGTATCATAGAACTATCAGTCCAAGGCGGCACTGAAAATTTCGGGAATTAACGAAGTGACACAACATTACTATTTAAAAATGTATTTATTGCTTTTCGAAGTATTCTCCGCGAAATTTGACACATTTTTCCATACGATGGAACCAATCATTGAAGCAACCATTCCATTCGGAAGTTGGGGTCTCCAAAATGGCCGTTTTGTAGGCGTCCACAGCTTCTTCAGGTGATGAAAATCTCTGTCCACGCAATTTATTCTTTATTTTAGGGAAAGTATAGAAATCATTAGGGCTTAGGTCGGGGCTGTACGGCGGATGGTCTAATAATTCTATGTTTTCTTGCTCTAAAAACTCTTTTGTTCTGTGCGCGGTGTGAGAACTCGCATTGTCGTGATGGAGGATGATGCGGCGGTTGCAGTTCTCTTTACGGAGTTCAGAAACGACCTGTGGCAAACAAATGCTAGCATACCATTCTGCATTAACCGTTCTTTGTCCCTCAAGAGGAATAGTCGTAACATGGCCGGTTTTGGAGACAAACGTGGCCACCATTTTTTTTGCAACACTCCGTGAACGAACAATTTTTGTTGGCTTTAACTCATTTTCGAACACCCAAACTCGTGACTGGTTTTTTGTTTCGGGTTCGTACGCGTATATCCAGGATTCGTCACCTGATACAATGTTGTATACAGCATTTGAGGATCCTGCGTGGAATCTTTCGAGAGTTCTGACGCACCAAGTAACGCGAGCCGCTTTTTGCTCTTCACAGAGCGAATGCGGTATCCATCGGGAAAACAACTTTTTTACACCTAATTGTTCATGCAAGATTATTTGTATTTGACTCATGCCAATGTCTAAAGTTGCCTGAATTTCGCGGTATGTCACATGTCGATCTTCCTCAATCAGCTTACGCACAGCATCAACGTTTTCTTGGGTGACTGCAGTTTTTGGACGACCTTGACGGGGATCATCACTGAGCTTGACACGTCCACGTTGAAACTCAGCAAACCAGCGATAAATTGTGGTTTTGGATGGGGCTTCATCACCAAATGCAGAAATCATCCGGTCAACACACTGTTTTTGTGTTAAACCACTTCGAAAGTCATAATAAATCATCGCTCTTGAATTTTATCGAGTCAATTCCATTTTCTCAACGACTAAACAAGTTTGACAAAACCTCGTGACAAGACCGAGAATCATTTTTTAAGTATCCAACAACAACTTAATACTCACCGAAATAGCGGTGGTGTAGTAAGTGGAAATGATATGAATATAACAGTTTTAAGCAGAGTGATGGGTGCTGGGTTGAAGTGAGGTGTGGTAGTAAAGGAGCTGTTTACATGCTGTTTATTAAATGTTTGCACTCGTTTAGCAGACGCTTTTTAATACACTGAGACGGTGCTCCTTACTTCTACCCTCCATATACTAAAGTTTCAATAAATCAGGAAATGAAGTTTGTGAACAAATATGGTGAAATAAATGTGATTAAAAATATTGGTAATTAAATACAAGTTTACCTCAAAAATCGTTTGACCCTAGTAAGAGCAGTGTTTCGCAGAATCTACCACCGGATCAAAAACGCGACCCACTGAGAAGTTCCGGCGAGAAACTCAGTGGGCTGTATCTATGGGTTTCTCAGTATAGTTACAACGGCTGCCCCACCCTTCAAACCGAAACGCATTACTGCTTCACGGCAGAAATAGGCGAGGTGATGGTACCTACCCGTGCGGACTCACGCGAGGGGTTTATTGAAGGGGAAAACGAAATGATAAAATGAAACACTATATTATCTAACATCATTTTATTACATCAATAAATTATAAAGTTTTTTAGGCAATAATTATAATTATATCAAAAAAGCGAATGCGATTATCGATATACACGTAAATCGATTTTACAATACGATTAATCGATTAAATCCTATAAAATTATTAGTTTAATTCATTATTTGTGTACTTATTTTAATTAAATATATTCCGCGCACATGGTATTCTTTCATTAATGTGAAATTTTTCAAATGGAATGGCTTTACTGGATTGAAAAGTAAACACTATTAAAAATAGCGGTATCTCAACATATCTATGTATATACTGTTTTATGTATATCGAGATATAAACGAATTCGGGATAAATTTATTTTGTTATAATTATAACGTAGACTTTGTCACTTTTGTTGAAAGACAGAAAATTTTCAATAATAATTATTATTATCGTTGTCTTAACAAATCAGTTCAATTGTTACAAGTCTTACATCAGATTCACAGGCTAATTTCAAGTATTCAAATTCGCTCAGACTTCTAACCATACAGCCTAGTTATACGTGCGTACCTACATCTAATTAACACTAAAACATGCATGTGATCTTTTTAGTACACTGCTTCACCAAAAAATATTATTAAAATGTCTCGTATTGAAAACCGACGTAGGCGACAACTGTAACTTCATTTAACACGATCGAGAAAAATTGGTCAGTAATTAGAAAACTACCATTAAGTAATGGTTAATTACAGAGCATAATGCGACTCAGTGACGCACAATGCCGAATTATGCTGAAGCTTAGTTGAGCATGCCGCATAATGCGCTCTTGTGCTGTAATTGGAAAACGGCCTTTATGAACTAATTATTGCGCTTGCTGTGGCAAATGTACGAGAAACCATTTCTCAGAAAAAAAAATTTTTTGTAAACAATGTTTGACGCCTCATCATACGAGTTATTGTATCGTAATAGATCTATAAAGCTTTATCGATTTACAAATGTTGCCAATTTATTTTTTCGAGTACATAAATAAATAAATTAAACTAATATTATTACACAGTTCTATATTTAAGGGTGCTAACCTAAATTAGTCATTATTCAACTTAAAGCTTAATAAATGTTTAGGATGCGGCGATGGGAGAGAGCTTTTAAACGGCATTCCATCTACTTTAGCAGTGAGCGAGTTATCAGTTAATCGCGTTTAATTAGCCAAAAGAAGTCCACGGACCTGACGCCAACTTCACGGCCCTGTCTCAAGAGTCGAAATCTCAATTATCTTACATGACAGCGGTGTCTTCGAATCAAAATAAATCATTATCTAAATTGAAGTAAGGTGGTACTAAGATATAGACGGCGAACAATTTTAATGCCTGATTAATATTTAAAAAAAGTTATAGCGACTTCACAGTGCGTAGTGCGAGTTTTTTAACTTCTCGATCGCATGAAAGTTAACTCAAATTTGTATGGAGTTAGAACAGCGCCCCTAGCGGCGAATGAATGGAGGCTGAATAGAATGACAACATCGATCTAGTCGGAGTCAATTAAATATGCAACAAATTTGAAACTCAGAAACTATTAGAGCAAAATTACAAGCGCAAGTCTTCAAAAAAAAAAAAAATTTAAAATCAAGATCGGTTTCTATTCTATTCTATTCTATCAGCCCATGGACGTCCACTGCTGGACATAGGCCTCCCCCAAGCCTCGCCACAAAGACCGGTCCTGCGCTGCCTGCATCCAGCGGATCCCCGCGAACCTCAATAGGTCGTCGGCCCACCTTGTGGGAGGCCTACCCACGCTACGTCTCCCAGTACGTGGTCGCCACTCAAGAACCTTCTGGCCCCAACGGCCATCTGTTCCGCGAGCAATGTGTCCTGCCCACTGCCACTTCAGTGTCGCAATCCTTTGGGCTATGTCGGTTACCATGGTTTTCCTGCGAATCTCCTCATTTCTGATTTGGTCTCGCAGGGAAACTCCGAGCATAGCCCTCTCCATTGCTCTTTGGGTGACCTTGANCGGTTACCATGGTTTTCCTGCGAATCTCCTCATTTCTGATTTGGTCTCGCAGGGAAACTCCGAGCATAGCCCTCTCCATTGCTCTTTGGGTGACCTTGAGCCTTCTCATAAGGCCCATTGTGAGCGACCACGTCTCAGTGCCATATGTCATCACTGGCAACACACACTGGTCAAAGACTTTCGTCTTGAGACACTGTGGTATTTGTGATTTGAAGATTTTACGTAGCTTTCCGAACGCTGCCCATCCGAGCTGGATTCGACGGTTGACCTCTTTTTCGAAGTTGGACTTACCTAGCTGGACAGTGTGTCCCAGGTAAATATACTCGTCAACAACTTCGAGCGTAGAGCCTCCGATCTTTACTGGAGTGGGCGCTACATGAGCATTCAACATAATTTTTGTTTTTCCTTGTTCATATTTAGACCCACTCGGATAGAAGCCCTACTGAGGTCTTTGAGCATTGTACTGAGGTCCTCCATGGTCTCGGCCATAATCACAATATCATCGGCGAACCGAAGGTGAGTTATGTACTCGCCGTTTATGTTAGATAGATCGGTTTAATTACAAAGAACTCAGGTAACACACAATAAAAACACTTGAGTTGTGAATTTCCTGCCTTTTTTAAGTCGGTCGATCAAATAAATATCGTATTGTAATGTATTTGTGTATAATTTATTTCAATAGCAAATGCAATAGCACCGCTCATCTGATTCCGACCAAACTATGTTAGGTTAATAATTAACGTTGAGTAAATGGCGTCCTTGGAGTCTTAACTAATAAGTGTATTTCATTAATATAATAACAATGTTAAATTTAGTAATTAGCTCCATGATCTCCCCCAGTGAAGTTGTTGGAATACCATCTTAAAAAGCTACTCCTTTTAACGCTCGATGTTACCAAAAATACAAAAAAAGCTACCAAAAGTTTCTATAAATAGTAGAAACAATACGTGTTGGTTATGGCAATATTGGCATGGCAGTTTTATAAATTTCGAATAGATTATTCCCGCTAATAATATATTCGATTGATTTACAAATAATTAATTTTAATATACAATTAAACCCATAGAGCCAAATGAATCTTAGCGTTGAACATAGTTTCTGCAAAAATAGCTTTTCGTTGTTCACAAAAGAAGAAACGGTGCAAAAATTATTGGTAAATTACTTCGGGGTAGAATTCAGTTATTATAGAGTATTTATTCTTTTATTTTTTACATTAATAATAATGATTTAACATAAATCAATTCATAAAGTAGAACAAATCTTCCAATACGCTTGAGGGAGGCACAGTTTCCAAGATACTGGCTGTGTTACCTCGTAGGATAGCCAAACTCACTCTCTGTGCAAAGTACCAGCCAGCTTTAGCATCACGTGTAGCTACCTTCAAGCGTTTGGAGATTTCTGATAATAGTATTTTCGTGTCTAAAATCTAAATTATGGCGAGAGATTAAGGAGCAAAGACCCCGGTTGTCAATACGTTTAAATCTGGAAATACAGTAATAATTTTTACCGCCAAAACGATTGTGATGTTAATTAAAAGTTGATCCAAAAACGCCACTTTCATGTGAAATAATGAAGGGATTATCCGAAATTCGTCAGATCCTTTTCTAATTCTACCTTCCACAGTGATAAGATAAATATTGATGTATTTTTATAACAATTAATAGCTCTTGGGAGGAGTTCTTGGTGTCAACAATACATAGTTAAAAGAACGATATGTAAATTAACAGCTAAAAGCAAACGCCACTGTCATTGTCAATGGCAATAAGTCTAGTTTCATGAGTACAAGACTATAAGCTATCTCTCTAAATTCAGACTCTTAACGGGTTAAATTGTATTTATATCACTACGATTAACAATATATTTAATACTGATTACAAAATATCTAATGTTATGTTAGTTTAGGTCGTTAAATGCGTTGTTCTAGTGTTACAAATAGATCGAAACTCTACCATTTCAGTAGGAAACCTCCTACAAATTTACGTAGAAACAATAAATACGGAATGCTATAAACTTACAATAATATATTATTATAAATCTTAAACAATTTTTTTTATTATAATTTACATACACGAAGCGAAATAGCAACGAATAATAATAAATAATACAGTTTTTTTCTTTATTTATTCATCTCAATCTTATTTTGAAAATCATCAAATACCTACAAACTAGTTAATTTTAAATGAACAAATTAAGTATAATAATTTGATTTTGTCTCAATAGTTTTATCAAGGCAAGAATTGTTCTGGTGGCATTTTAGGGTTTGAGTAATGAATAGCGTATTTATTACTATTTTATTTTATACTGCAGACTATCTAAGTGTGAATTACTAAAATGAATTCTTCGAATAAGTTAGTGATATGGGAATCTTGTGAACACGCAAGAGCAGGTACCACCACTCTGCCTATTTTTACTGTCAAGCAGTAATGCGTTCCAGTTTGAAGGGCAAGATAGGTGTTGTATTATAAAACTGATACCGAAATCATATCTCAAAATGGGTAGCTATAGGCTCTGGTAATCACTTAACATTAGCATCAAAATAATTTCATGCCTCTAGTATAGTCAGTGGAATCTAGTGGAGTTCAATCCATCGGAGACAGGTGTATAGCCATGCTCGCTGCCAAGAATGACGCCTTGGAGTACCGGAGTTTGGATATCTTGGGCGGAATTCGGTATCAGAGTCATGGTGCACGGTCAAGCGAAGTTGGCTTTTAAAACGTCGTTACTGCTCAGAGTGGTACTTCACAGAGAACTTGTGCTTTAAGATACCTCACACGCGCTTTGAATACTTCGTTCACGCTCGATATAGTGTGACCAGGAATTGTGGTATCTTGGCAAGACACAAGTCGAAGTTTACAGAAGCGTTTTAACCCTTGGAAGCAACGTGGTCATAGCGTCCACAATCAGCCAATGTTGAATTGAAGCCATTGTTGTTCTTAAAGAATTGATTAATTGAATGTCAATGTTGAATGATATTATTTGACATTTACGGTGGATGGGTGGCGTCGAATTTATCTAAGCAATTTTGAGACATTTTATTTTGGGCAATGAAAAGTGTCTACTTATCCGCTGTCAAAGATATACGACCATGGGTAGTGATGGAATGTACAAATGTACTGCGTAATTAGTAGCAGCCACTAGCACGTTCAAGACGCTAATAATCAAGAAACAACTTAACATATATTAATCTGTCAACCTTTATTTAGGCCTTCTGTATTAAGAGAAATTAAAAGTATTATTTTTAAGTTAATAATCGCAAAATTGTTATCGTTGGTAGAATTATAAATGTAAATAGGGTACCACCTGCAATTTTGTTAATGTCTACTCAAAATACACCTACTGCCATCTAGCGGTGAGAGTGTGTGCTCTTGTCTGTGGTTTATTTGAGAACAATATTTCAGGTGTGACGATTGATAGCCTCATTTATTACTGTGTATCCATTAATTTGTACTTTAAACTTAAGTTCGATGCAAAAAATTAATATTAGCGTCGGATGTGGCGCTCAGAATTGTATTATACAATTCCATGTCTTTAGATAGTTTCTATGCTTCTCAGTCTGTCAATTAATTTAATCTTGGAGTTTCGTATTCAATGTTATTACTGACAATCACTGTAACGAAATCTCCGAATGGAGTGAAAACATTTACATGATACAAATAGGATCACTGCGTTTGTATTTACTCTGTGGTCGGGCGCCATCTTGTCCGAACAGGCTAGAATACGACAAAAGAAACTTCATTAATTAAACAAAAAAAATTATCAAAATCTGAACGACACATCCGAAAGCGAATGCTAAAAAATAATACTGCACATAAAAAATTCACGTATCGATAAATACGATAAGCGGAAACGCCTATCGCGCGGCAGAAATCGTCCAACAAGTCACGTGACTTGTCGCGTCGTGAATGCCCTTCCTTAGATATCTTAGGCTGGTTCGCGGATGGGATCGCAGTCTTCAGTGCTGGAAGGGATTGTTACGGTTGCACTTCTTGCCGCACGCGCACTTGCGTACTATCTCTATGTCTTTGGTGTATCTGGTGCCGTCGGAGCACACCAGACGGACCTGCCGAGCACAAAAAATATACATACATACATACATGTATATTGTGGTTTCAAAACGAAAAAAAAAGGTGCACGTGAAAGAAGTGAAACTTCTTATGTGGTGTGTAGTATTGTGCTACATTTTTCATCCTTAAGTAAAATTTCTATTGTAATAGGGTACGCTGTGTATAAGAGAAACAACCTAGCTCGCTTTCTCCCTCTCTCCGCGCTCGAGTGGTTCGCGAGACGCTCTGTCTATTTTCTCACTCTCGCTCGTTCTAAATTGTATCTTTTCTCTCTACCCGTAACAAATCTGTCGCGAATTAAATTTTACTCTCAATCCGCCTAAAGAAGTTTCACTTTCAAAACAAGCTTAAATAGCAACCGACTTTTTTTTTTATCGCTTAGATGGGTGGACGAGCTCACAGCCCACCTGATGTTAAGTGGTTACTAGAGCCTATAGACATCTACAACGTAAATGCGCCAACCACCTTCAGATATAAGTTCTAAGGTCTCAGTATAGTTACAGCGGCTGCCCCACCCTTCAAACCGAAACGCATTACTGCTCACGGCAGAAATAGGCGGGGCGGTGTTACCTACTTGTGCAGACTCACATCATAAAACAAGTAGTACCTAGATCTAATCTGGATTTCAATCTAAATAGTATGTGCACTCAGCAAAACCATATTAATGTGCAAAGCTTTCGCTATTGAAAACACAATTGAAATTACAAATATTGATAACTAGCCATTGTTAAATAGGATATCCTTCACACATTTGACAAATCCCCTGAGTCTAGGTTCCAAGATATCGAGGTTACCGTGAGATCTAGCCAAATCATTTTACTGCCTGACCATTCTTACCATAGGGATAAAGTATGATATATTATTTTTATGTCTATTTTTATATATGCTTGGATCAGCCATACATACCTTCCTTTTCTTGGTTTTCCTCGGGGCACAGCAGCTGCCCCTACCACAGGCGCCCGAGGGCCTCTCCCCTCTGAAATACATTTTTTTTATAGCTTATATGGTTGGACGAGCTCACAGCCCACCTGGTGTTGAGTTGTTACTGGAGCCCATAGACATTTACAACGTAAATGCGCCATTCACTTTGAGATATAAGTTCTAAGATCTCAGTATAATTACAACGGCTGCCCCGCCCTTCAAACCGAAACGCATTACTGCTTCACGGCTGAAATAGGCAGGGCGGTGGTACCTACCCACGCGGACTCACAATACGTCCTACCAGCAGTGCAATATTACAATTGCGCAACTGATTTATTTTGTGCCCATGAAAAATGTGTGTGTATGGTGTTGAAGAGGATCGTGGTTAGACGTTGTAGCTAGACTAACTCGGCGGTGCAAGAGTTAGCTGTCCTGACTGTTGCGTCAAGGGTAATGGGTTCGATTCCCGCATTGGACAAACATTCGTGAGATGAAAAGATTTGTTTGCTCTTCGTCTGAGTGCTCATTATCTATATGTGTATATATTTAAGTTCACTTATATAAAGTCTATCAGCCTCCGGTACCCAAATAGATTGCGCGAAAGATGATATCGCCTTTTAGCATTCAAAGTATACAATTTCCAAAAATATTCGAAATTGAGTTGATATGCGGAATCATTTGGTATCACCAGTATTTTTCTCACAAATACTGTCAGGAGATCGTAGTCTAGTTTTTTTTTTTTTTTAGTTTACCCCATTTTGACTAGGTACTATTAACAAAATTAATAAATAATTTTATCTTACTGTCTTTAAAAGACAAATAATGTAACTGGTAAAAAAAAATACATGTTCCAAATATGATTAATATTAAAAATATCACATGTTAAACCTATAAAACACTCTCCTGTATAATTAGTAAGTTTTGAGATTATACAGTTTTAATGCGAGAAGACGAATTATGTGTAAGAGGGTAGTGCGCGAAGAAATAGTACATAATAGAGGAGTACGGAAGGAGAAAACATGTTGCGCCGACCCCAAGTGACTGGAAGTAGGGCAGCGGAATGATGATGATGGTACCCATATCACTCATGCTCCTAATTTGATGGCTCTGTAGCCCCGAAGTACAGACTCACCGGTCCGTCCTGGCGACGCACCTCGCTCCTCGCACGGCGCGGCGGCTGCGACACGCGCCCTCCGTCACGAACTCCCGGGTCGGCTCCTGGAAGATGAGCACCTCGGCATGACAACGCACTACTGCTAATATACCGCGCACGCTCATATCGCAAGTCGGACCCAGCAAATTTGGATACAGTAGATTGGAGGAATAGAGACTAGAGTTAGAATAGGGACAAATCTGGGATGTCACAGTACTTTTGTGGGGTCGTTAGAGATTTAACTTTGTTGTACTGAAAATGACTTTTATTAATTTTTTAAGAATATGAAATAGTTTGATTTAGTCATCAAAGTTTTGTAACTCATTAAATATATTAAAAAGTTAATCACCTAAAATTAGGTACCTACCTAACAACTAAATAGTGCCAGCCCTATCGATTAAATATAAAACTCTATTGTCCCCATACGTAACCTGATTCACCCCAAAGTCAAGGTGAATCGGGTCAAGCTAGTTTTTTTAAGTTTCTGTGTATATTTTGTAATGAACTATGTATAATAACGCATCGTATATAAAAATTTAAGCTTCCGGAACCATTATGATCTCCGTTTTATTGCTATAACTACAAAAAAAAACTATAAAAATCAATGTCGAACTTAAAAAGTGTCCCGATGCCCCCCATTTTACGGTATCTTATGTTTTTACTAATACACTTTTATTAGCTTCATACGTATGTTAGTATTTAACGGAGTCTTTGAACATGATTTTGACCCCCTTCAAAACGTCGGACTGACTCGAAATTTGGCATACTTATTAAGGACCGATGGCAATTCAATATTTTAATCAGTTTGATCGGTTATCCTTACTAGGATAATCGCCATTAGCGATTTTTGGTTTTCCCGAGACCCGGAGTGTCTGCGTCAAGATCAAGAAGGGAAACTACCAGGCGCGCCGATCAGCAATTTCTTGGATAAGTTACCATAAATTTAATAACATAAGGGTAAACAAAATAATGTGGAATGTGGTTTACCTTCTTGCACGGCGGTGGGGTTGCGCTCGGTGCCGAGGGCTCCGCCGGGACCTCCTGCTTGTGAGGAGGTGCAGCTAGATTGCAGACAAACAGGGTTATCATAAACATTAAGGTGACCATTGTATTCGGAGATTACCTCTAAGCCGCCTCGACCTCACCTCGACGGAGTGCTCCTCGAAAACAATATTCGTAATTCGGTTTTGTTATTTTTATTGACGGTCTTCTTGTGGTAAGTTGTTATGGAGTCCATAGGCACCAACGACGTAAATGCCACCTTGAGATATGAGTTCTAAGGGTTGTCTCGCCCTTCAAACCGAAACGCATTACCTCTTCACGCCAGAAATAGGCAGAGCAGTGGTACCTACCTACCTAAGTAACTGATTGAGTGTGGTCGAGGAAGTTCCATGGGCTCACCACTTCTCCTGGCATATGTCCATTGAGAACAACAAGATGAACAAGTATTGAGGTCGTTTAGATCCTGTTGTGATGTTTGGGGTCATAAATACCTGGAGAAGCTTGAACGTTGCTGAACCCGGTCCTCCTGGCGGGGAGCTTGGCTTGCGTTATCACTGGGGCGCCACCTGATGCAATACGAAACTATGACTGCTCAAAATATATTTACAATGGCGTCTAAGTTTTGGCGATTGCATGCAGAAGAGATGCGAATGTTGCGATGTATGTGTGGAGTAACGAGAATGGATAGAATACAGAATGAATATGTTAGAGGAAGTCTGAGAGTGGTACTTCTGACAGAGAAGCTGAGAAGTGCGCGTTTGGGATGGTATGGACATGTGATGAGACGAAATGAAAATGAGGTTAGTAAGAGAATGATAACTATGAATGTAGAAGGATATAGCGGGAGAGGTAGACCTATGAAGAAACGGATAAACGGTTACCGTCGTTCAAGAATGCCAGTGATCCTGGCGTCACACAATCAAACCGTCGCCTATTGCTGAACACTTTTTGGAAACCTGGTCTGAAGAAGAATGTGTCGCAACGCTCAGGAAGAACCGGGAATAACTATGAGTTTCATGCGCATAATCTGGTCATTAAGGGTTTTTTTCCTACCTATGCTGATAGCCTTGAGATGCTATATCAGCTTCGCCCTAACATGTAGGTGAGCTCACAGGTTCAACCTGAGAGAATTTGCTAACACCAACCCTAGCAAGAGCAGTGCTTCGCAGAATCTACCACCGGATCGGAAACGCGACCCACTGAAAGGATCCGGTGAGAAACTCAGTGGGCTGTGTCTGTGGGTTCTAAGGGTATCTCGTTGCTGACTATTTGACGATAGTTCTCTTGTCATAAAGTCTCTCTTTCAAGGTCCCAAAATTGTTTAGTACCTCGCATTTCGGGAATCAGTAATTGTTTATTGTAAAACAAGGATATTTCGTGAAAGGTTTGACTAGGCGATGTGGTTTTGAACAAGTCCCCTATCTCTTTTCTTTGGGGGTCGAGAGACGACTGCGAGTTTTCTCCAGAGAATTAGCAGTAGCGGTCTTTGAGTATTGGACCAGCGTACTGGGACCCACAACTAACATATCCTGCTTGTGGGTTATATAGAGTAGGCAGGGGCAACCTACCTGGTTGGTGTCAGCTTTCTGATAGGTCACGGGTTTCAATTTGAAGCCTTGGGTAGTTGACAATAAAATTGAAATTTCTCCCTAATGTCGCAAGCTGCGCACTATTCAATCAGTAACCACTGAACACCAGAGCGGTGTAGCTTCGATATGATTTAAATGATCATGACGGGGAAACATGCCTGCCATCAATTCTTCTGGATTTGTATTTCTAAGTCACATCTGGTCGTATTTCTAAGTCACGTCGCCACTGTTAGTAACGAGGGATATGCGAGTGAAGCACTTGCTCGCTATTAACACACCGTCCTATATTTGTTGAAATACCCCGTATGCGTACACGCACACATATTTAACAGATAGAATACACGTTGAGGAAGTCACAAGTAGAGATGAAACGGATAGTGGTTTGGCCGGATACCGGATGCCGAATATTCGGCAAGCTGCCAGGCTGGAGCGCTGGATATTTTGGTAGGCAGCGGCTTGGCTCTGCCCATGGCATTGCTGAAGTCCATGGGCGACGATAACCACTCACCATCAGGTGGGCCGTATACTCGTCTGCCTGCAGGGTAATAAAAAAAAAATTCGACCCTTTCGAGAATATTTGTGCGCGTTCGGGTATCGTCGGGCGTGAGATGAGATCGCGACGACTCGGTACGACAACGATTTGGTATTCATTCACCACAATCTGCCACTTGTTAATTTTGAGTATTAAACAAACTAATTAATAAAACAATCACTTTTGACGTGCGATTATATAAAAATAAAGGTTGTCCATAACCTATTGTGGTATTATTTGCCTTTTGTATAACTGTAATGTTGTACTTTAGGAGGTGTTAAAGGCAAACGTCTTCTTGCGTGTATTCAATGTTTAATTATTATCATCTTAATTCTAGTTTACAATTATGAAGAAGCCTATGTTTCTGGGTGGTCCGCCTTATTAGGGAGACATACGAGATTACACCTATTAATTATGTTATATACTAAATGCTATGCTAATACTATGCTATGCTATGATATTTAAGTATACACACTTCATAACCATAAGATTTTCTTAAATTTTAGTATCCGAAATCCGGCCGGATACTGATTTAATATTCGGTATCCGGCCGGATAGTGGAAACATGGCCGGATACTGGATATCCGTTTCATCTCTAGTCACAAGGGTGGCTCGAGGGTGTCCCCCCGGTCGGTACTCACGGATGCTGGCGCGGAGCTCGCACTGGGGGCCGGCGGTCCCCGGGGGGCAGCGGCAGGAGTAGTGTCCGCGGGCACGCTGCACGCACCGCCCCCCCCGCGCGCACGGATTCGGCACGCACGGATCCTGTCACACAACGAGCTATTGCAACCTCCGACAGACAGGCACTGGTGGTAGGACCTATTGTGAGTCCGCGCGGGTAGGTACCACCACCCCGCCTATTTCCGCCGTGAAGCAGTAATGCGCTTCGGTTCGAAGGGCGGGGCAGCTGTTGGAACTATACTTGAGACCGTATAACTTATATCTCGAGGTGGGTGGCACATTTTACGTTGTAGACGTCTACGGGCTCCAGTAACCACTTAACACCAGGTGGGCTGTGAGCTCGTCCACCCATCTAAGCAATAAAAAACGAAACATTAGACGGTAAGCAGTGACCTCCTCGTGGGTAGTGTCGTCCTGGACGCCGCTGATGACGGAGGGGGCTGGCGCGTCGTCGTCCCCGCATCCCGGGGTCGTGCGTTGCACCCGGACAGCGTTCACGAAGTCCACTCGCTTGTGGTTGATCCAGGCCTCTTTCAAACAACCTGACATTGGAAACAAGCAACTCACTTTCAAGAACATCGAAGTCGTTGCGGCCTAAATGATAAGACGTCCGGTGCGTTCGTGTGTAGCGATGCACCGGTGTTCGAATCCCGCAGGCGGGTACCGATTTTTAATACGCTTTTATTTAGCTTCAGACGTATGTATGTTAGTATGTAACGGAGTCTTCGAACATGATTTTGACCCTCTTCAAAACGTCGGATTAACTCGAAATTTGGTATACTTATTATGGACCGATGACAATTCAACATTAATTACTGGTGGTAGGAGCTCTTGGGACTCCGCGTGGGTAGGTACCACTGCCCTGCCTATTTCTGCCGTGAAGCAGTAATGCGTTTCGGTTTGAAGGGCAACCGTTGTAACTATACTGAGACCTTAGAACTTATATTTCAAGATGAGTGGCGCATTTACGTTGTAACCATTCAACACCAGGTTCGTTGTGAGCTCGTCCCCCCATCCAAACAATTTTTTTTTATCGCCAATTAAAAAGCTGTTCTCAATAATACTCCTCAAAGACCGTCTGGTGTTGGATATTTCAGTGGCGAAGGGCAGAAGTTTGGTCGCGTTCCTACTGCCCATAAGCAACAGCACACACGAAAATTGACTTTTTATTGTTTGCCCAGACGGATCAACAGGTTTCCAGCCAGTATTTGCTGGTCACGGAAGCCTATAGATATCACCACGTAAATGCTACCCCACTTGAGACATAAATAACTGTCTGTGTTTGGAAATACGACCATTGCTGCTTCGCGACAGAATTAAGCAGGATAGTGATGATTCAGACCTTTAAAGCTGGTTATGTTCCGCAGATGCCATTTCGAGAAAGCCTCCTTGGCGACCTCCTGCGGCACTCCTCCGAGGTACATCGGCCTCTCTAGTCTCAAGAATTCCTTGCTGCCTGAAAATACATTTTTTTATTCATCACATTCTCTTAATGGATCCACAGCGGATATTCCGTTTTTACAAGTTAAAGACCGAAGCGGTCTCTGTGGGTGGATACCATGACTTTGCCAAAACAAAATAAACGGGCCCTTGGGACCGCCGCAACTCACCTGCCTAGAATAACTCTGACCGCAAATTTTCTATTGAATATGTGAAAAACGCGGGACCCCCATGGCTCATCTAGGCTAGTGGCTATAACATATTGAAGGGGGACTATTCGACAATATAATTGCATAATCAAAAAACTAAAAGGAGGAGTGGCTTGAGTAATTCTTTATCCATATGCATTTAATTACTTTTGGCAAAAACCGCAAAAAAATCTCAGTCCATAATCTGTTAATCTTTCTTATACTAAATTAAATTTATGTTATGATTTTTGCAAAACAGATAAAATCAATCGAAATAAGGACGAGGCGCCGCAATTAAACCGTTAAAATTGGCGTTAAAAAATATTATTTTAACACTAAATACGCATTTTATCCAGCTGTGGTCAACAGTAAGACTCAGAGACCAGATAGCTCAAACCGGTGGGCTTAAGACTAATTGCAAAGGCCTCTTGGTAAACACGCAAGTCTGAAAACCACGAGTACTTTGAAATCCCAACCTCATTGAGCGAAGTAAAATGATACTCAGCCAACAACAAGGACGCTTGACAAACCCCCTACCCCCAAGCTTCAATCCGTTGTCCAGTAGTTGCAGCCACATCGCTTTGTCGATGTCGCGACGAAAGTAATATTTTTGGGTTTAACGCACTTTTACATTTTTTAAGGCATTTTATGGCCTGGTAACTAAGACCTTTAGGTCAAGTCCTATTTTAATATTGTTTTTGATATATGAAAAATGTTAATATGAAGTGAAATTAAACGAAATGAGACGAGATGAGATGATATGAGGTGGAATATAATCTTAGTAAAATGGCGGTCATTTACTGAGATTTTTTCAGTGGGCTTTTTGGAGGATCCCGAGAAGTTACGTCCAGCGGTTTTGATTCATTTACCCACATTTGTGCACTTCCACAGATACTAAACAGTTAATAAACCACCGTTATTACACATTTAAACCTGAAGAAACACTAAATAGACAAAATAAAACAAATCACACAACTTCACCCCTCGCGTTCCTGCCAAAAAGTCTTTTTTTTTTAGTTGCAACAACAAAGCGATCAATACAAAACATTGACAAATTGACATTATGTACATGACAGATGTCACCTCAATTACAGGTGCTTTCTTTTTCTTTACCTAATCGCTGGTAGCCTACAAGGGCTATTCCAATTTCACGCAGACGGGTAGGAGAGCTCACAGGCTCAACCTAAGAGATTGCTAATACTGGCCCTAGCAAGAGCAGTGCTTCGCAGAATCTACCGCCGGATCGGAAACGCGACCTACTGAGAAGATCCGGCGAGAAACTCAGTAGGAATCGAGAGTGCAATAGACATCTTGAAATTAGAAAAGTAAGAATAATTGAATAACGATACAATGAACAATTTTAAGAAATATGAAATCCTCTTTTTTATTTTGTGACCTGGTAACAGAGACCTTTAGGTCATATCTTATTTGGAAAATGTTCATTACTTTAATGAAATACACTTAGCTAACAATGTCACAGATAAAAAAAACACCCCTAAAAAATGTAAAATACATTTATGGCTCTTTTCCCCCAAAAGCCTCGTTCGTGTTTTATCCCGATCGCCTACCTTCGTTGATGATGGATCTGGCGGGTCCGTCGTCGACTTTCAGGGTGAAGTTTTTCTTGATCGCCAAAAGCTCCGCTTTGTGGTAGCTTCCGTCCGACACCATTTCAAAGCTGCAATCGGTATACGAATTAGCTGGAGTCAGCCTCTCTTCTTGACGCGTGCACGGTCAGCTTGTGACGTCACGCTACGTCGTAAGACTCACGTAGATATATAGATACTGGACGTGCCGGTAATGACGTCATTAAAAGAACGCACATAACGTCACTATGTCACGCGTTGCCGTAACGCTGGTGTGCGAAAGGGATGACGAGTGTGATTCACAATACGCACTCTTAAAAGTATTTTAAATTTAATTGGAACGTCTTGTGAGTCCGCACGGGTAGGTACCACCGCCCTGCTTATTTCTGCCGTGAAGGAGTAATGCGTTTCGGTTTGAAGGGCGAGGCAGCCGTTGTACTGTTAAAAGTGAGACCTTAGAACTCGTGTATCGAGGTGGGTGGCGGCATTTACGTTGTACATGTCTACGGGCTCCGGTAAACATTCGACACCTTAGAGCTTATATTTCAAGGTAGGCGGCGCATTTACGTTGTAGATGTCTATGGGCTCCAGTAACCACTTCATACCAGGTGGGCCGTGAGCTCGTCCACCCATCTAAGCAAAAAAAAACCAATTTGGATTTTTACATTACATACAAAATACCACTAAGAACCGTCTGTTTGATTCTTCTAATCGCCAAATACGATTGCTTTTTATTTATTTGTTTATTTATTTGGGAAACAAACAGTAAAATCCAACATATAATATTTTTGCGGCCGAAATAGGCAGGACGATGGTTCCTACCACCATGATGACCAGTTATAGTCTTCGTCCGCTGGTATAATTATCAGATGGCTCCCTACGCCGCCTTATGAAACCCATGATGCTGTTCTGACAAGACCTAAATGACCACACAAGGTATACTCTTCATCTGAGATGAGAAGACCCTAGAACTAGCGTTTGCCAGACTTACCTGTACATGGTAGAGGTGGGATGGTTGCCGACGTCGTAGCTGACCCTGATCCTCCCATTGAATAACTCCACGGCCAGATGCTCGTTCTCACCGAAGTACATGAGCACGCCGTGATGCTGCTTGGTGCTGAAGACTGTAGTGGAATCGTCTTTGAGTAAACGCATGGCTTAAAGAAGTTTGTTGGATCCATACGCGCGCCACAAATTTTACATTGACATTTCTCAATGGCGGCGCCATTTGTGGTTAGGTATGAAGTCGTCGTGGCCTAAAGGATAAGACGTCCGGTGCATTCGTATGTAGCGATGCACCGGTGTTCAAATCCCGCAGGCGGGTACCAATTTTCCTAATGAAATACGTACTTAACAAATGTTCACGATTTACTTCCACGGTGAAGGAATAACATTGTGTAATAAAAATCAAACCCGCAAAATTATAATTTGCGTAATCACTGGAGGTAGGATCTCTTGTGAGTCCGCGCGGTAAGGTACTACCACCCTGCTTATTCCTGCCGTGAAGCAGTAATGCGTTTCAGTTTGAAGGGTGGGACAGCCGCTGTAACTATACTTGAGAAATAAATAAATAACTAATATTATTATTATGTACAAAGTTTTTGTTATCGAATTTCGGTATGTATGTATTAAAAAACCACGAGCCTACGCCAAGTGGAGTTCATTTTAAGTTTTAGTTTCGTTTGATGTTTCGTCCTGAAAAAGCTTCCGAATAATCCGGCGCGTATTTAAAATTGTGGCTTTTTGCATGGTAAAAAATATAGTTTTGGGTAAATCTAATAGCTTGATGGAGTGGTGAAGGTACTTTGGTATGACTCCAGTGCTGGAAAGCACCAGTGGCACAATATGTACTTTATTCATTTTCCAAACTAGTAATTTCTTCCTTTAATTCTGTATATTTATGTATTTTTTCAGTTATTGATTTCTGTATATTATGGGTGTTAGGTATATTATATTATTATTATTATTATTTGACACTGTCATTAACTGCCGCACAGTCGGCGGCCCCAAGGCAGGGCTGTCGGTCAGATGGCCAGATTCCGCCCTAGCTGCCTTATCTTCAATAAGACTGTCTCCACAGTCACTGTTCTGCTGAATTACTTACCTAACGTGACGTTGGCTTGCGGCATAGTCCTTAGCGGCTCCAGCTCCACCAGGGAATCGTTGTGGTTGAAGGTCAGGGATGTGAGATATTCGCAGAGCCGGCCTGAATGAAAACCAACACTAATGAAAACCCCTTCTCTCTAGCACGAATTAAGCATATTTATAGATTGGGCTTAGTCGATATTCAAGATAGAAATTAGACGTAAGAAGTTGACGAACTTAAGCAGAACGAACATGGTTAATGTGGCGTCGTTATGGCGCAGTTTGAACCCTGCGGGTAGACACCATCTTTTTGGCTATTTCTGCCGTGAAACAGTAATGCGTTTCGGTTGGAAGGGCGGGGCAACCGTTGTACTGTAAAAACTGAGAGCTTAGAACTCATGTATCAAGGTGTGTAGCGGAATTTACATTGCAGATGTCTATGGACTCTGGTAACTTAAACATCAGATGGGTCATTAGCTTGTCCACCGAACTAAGCACTAAAAAAAACCTAAGAGGACGGTCACTTTACTTTCTGTTGGCCCAAAACAGAGACTCATGCGAACACTATTAATTCTCTATCAAATCAGAAACTATTAATCTTCTTTACAACTTCTCATTTGAGATCTTCAAGTTACTGTATAAGATGCGTTATTTGTTGTTCAGGTTCGGGTCAATGGTAAGAGATCTCGTGGGCGAATCCCCATGCGCTGGACTGATCAGGTGAAAGACCTTACTGAAACCCTACTTAACGTGTGCGTGCGCCAAGCCTAAGTTCGCAAATTATGGAAAACATCTGTCAAGGCTTTAATAAGCAAGAATTCCACATGACCACGACTGCTCTGCCAAGAGCAACCGACTATGATGACGTGTACCGACTTGTTTTAAGGACGACTAATATTTCAGTGGAAAGTGCATTGTTGTTGTGCTTTTAAAAAGCTCAATAAGTCGATAAGCCCAAGTTTGTATCATTGAGCTGTCTTCTTCGGAGGCCTCAGGGCAGATGTTAGCAAATCCCTCACTCTTAAAAAAAACTCATGTTTCAAGTAATTTGGCTATAGGGGTCTTAGGTATTGAAAAGCGGTCTCTGTCCGAAATAGTTTGGTAAACCTTGGCTCAGAAGGATATTTACCCGAGTATCCCGGAGCGCACTTGCAGAGGTAATCGTTAGGTTGCGAGATCAGCGGATGCTCCTCCATGATGATGTCGTCCTAATGAGGAAGGAACAAAGTTAATTGACAGTCCTTAAAGTGTCCTTTGGTTGTTGCGACTCTTAGGCACGGTTAAAACAAATTTCCAGGTTGGATGCTGGCGGAAATGGACCGGTTGCACTGGAGATCGATTGGAAAGGCCTATGTTCAACAGTGGACAGCTATAGGTTGAGATTATGATGATGAAAATTGCTTTTATGGCTTAATCCAGTTAGCACAATGTTCAAATGTGGACGTAATGTGAATCCAGATGGGTAGGTACAACCACCCTGCCTATTTCTGCCGTGAAGTAGTAACGCGTGTGGCAGCCGTCGTGGCTCCAGTAACCACTAAAAACTGGGCGGGCTGTGAGCTCGTACACCCACCTACGATATAAATAAATAAAAACATCGAGCAAACATTCGTGTTACGTATATGTATGCTCTTTGTACGAGTGTTTAACATATATCTGTATATTTGAGTGTACAAGTATGTATGTATATCGGTGTCCGGGTTCCCGTGGAGCAGGGGTCCCGAGGCGAGTCGGTGACCGCGTGTGTCGTATCCCCGGATACTATGAGGTTGTAGCGGTAGCCATCATACAACACAAGATATTTGACATGCCTGAATCTCGCTTACGACATTTCCAAGATAAGCTTGCATATATACAAGTTCCGAACAACAACATTCGCCCACTTCGATAAAGCGGCACGACATGAGAACCCTCTCATCGTGGCCGCCGGTAACTACATTCCCGATTCTGCGGATAGAATGGTAAACAGTCGACGTCGCCCTAAGCACGTCATTTCGGATCCTCCCTCACTAACGGTGCTTTTAGGTATCCCAAGCACCGATTCTCATTGACCCGTCGCTTGCGACGAAGGGCTCGACGAGTAAATTAACCCACAGACACAGCCCACAGAGCTTCTCGCCGGATTTTCTCGGTGGGTCGCGTTTCCGATCCGGTGGTACATTCTGCGATATACGGCTCTTGCTAGGGTTCGTGTTAGCATCGTTGTCAGGTTTGAGCCCCGTGAGCTCCACCTACTAGTTAAGGTTACGCTGAAATAGCCTCTCCAGACTACCGAGCAATATCACCCGCTTTGTGGAAGATGTTTCCTTGTCGTGTACCTACAAGGTTTCACGTCCGTGTGGTGCAGAGACTCCCAGGGTACAGAAGGCGGTCTCACCTGCAAGGGTCGCGGCGGCGGCAGGTAGCAGACCCCATGCAGGCAGTCGTGGTGGGCGCAGGGCGAGGTGCCGAGCGCGGCGTGGGGCGCCGCTTCGCAGTACCGCCCGGCGTACCCCGCCGCGCATGCGCACCGATACTCCTCCAGCCCGTCCACGCACGTCGCGCCGTTCTGTGCCAACGACACTGACATGTCAGTACACGGAGCCATAAAGTTGAGAAACGAAAATCATTTATAATTTATGTGATCTTAATGTAGGAATCGAATTTATTGTTGTGATGCTCTAACAATGTTTTCATATTTTTAAATATGAATTAAAAGCCGATCATGAGTTCCACTTCGAAGGTCGGGTCGGTCGCTGTGCAATGCAAATAAAGTCGGGAATGTCTTAAGGCGGGAAAATTAATAAAACGAACAAAAATTAAATATAGGAAAAGGTAGGCAGCGGCTTAGCTCTGCCCCTGGCATTGCTGAAGTCCATGGGCGACGGTAACCACTCACCATCAGGTGGGCCGTATGCTCGTCTACCTTTTTTTTATTGCTTAGATGGTTGGACGAGCTCACAGCCCACCTGGTGCCAAGTGGTTACCGGAGCCCATACACATCTACAACATCTATACGACATCTACAACGTAAATGCGCCACCCACCTTGAGATATAAGTTCTAACGTCTTAGTATAGTTACAACGGCTACCCCACCCTTCAAACCGAAATGCATTACTGCTTCACGGCAGAAGTAGGCGGGATGGTGGTACCTACCCGTGCGGACTCACAAGAGGTCCTACCACCAGTGATTTCGCAAATTATAATTTTGCGGGTTTGATTTTTATTACACGATGTTATTCCTTCACCGTGGAAGTCAATCGTGAACATTTGTTGAGTACGTATTTCATTAGAAAAATTGGTTCCCGCCTGCAGGATTCGAACGCCGGTGCATCGCTACATACTAATGCACCGGACGTCTTATCCTTTTAACTGCCTACAAGGGTAATTAAAAAAATAGGTTACAGCTCGTTAAAATTGTTAACAGCATGCTATTTTTATTCACTGTTTTCAAGATTGATCGATTACTGGGGACTCGTAGGCCTTTCCGGTTTCACCAGAACAGCTGGGCGAGCAAAGACTCGGCCAGGAGGGGTGGTATTTGCTAACAGCTGCCCGAGCATCTCCACAGGAGACCCAACAAGAGCAGCTGCTTCGCGAATAAATCCTTTATTCACTCTCCTAACCCTGATTAGACTAAACGTAGCACTACTTCCAAAAAAAATCCAGTTACTTCGCTCGATACGCGTATACTGAGCGTCCTACTGATTAGGCCGCGACGACATCCAATTACACAAACGGCCGTCTGGTGTAGTAGTAAGTGACATGGTCACTACACAAGGGGGTCACGGATTCCGAATCCCGCCGAGGGAAGATATTTATATGATAAATATAAGTATAAAATGTCTTATCCAGGGTTATGGATGTATATTAAATATATGTATGTGTATAAGAAAAATGTTACATTTATTTCCGTTATCTGGTTGGTACCTGTAACACAAGTTGTTTGAACTTAGCACGAGACCAGTTAACGTAGCGTGATTGTTAGTAAATATTTATTTATTTAATTAATCCGAGACAGTGGTATAGTATGGTTGTGATGTTGCCTGCTTATACACCCAGTATTACAGGGAGGAGTTTAGGCTTTAGGCGGTGGTGGTGGACCGACCTGGCACATGTGGTTGATGCAGTCGTCCGCGTTGACGGTGCAGTTCTGTCCGGAGTAGCCCTTGGGGCAGCTGCAGGTGTAGTGGCTGCGGTGGTCGGTGCACGCAGCCCCGTTGGCACACGGGTTGAACTCCGCCGTGCAGAACGGTATCTTGGTCTCGCAGAATTCTCCTGTTAACAAGAGCACTGGGTTACGAGCTTTTTCAATACTGGGTATTGTGAGGCCGTATGGTGGGTGTGGCAGCCGTTGTAGCTATACCTGAGACCTTAGAACTTATATCTCAAGGTGGGTGGCGCATTTACGTTGTGGATGTCTATGGGCTCCAGTAACCACTTAACACCAGATGGGCTGTGAGCTCGTCCACCCATCTAAGCAATAAAAAAAATACTCTTTAGAGTAGCGCCTCAAGACAAGACTGTCCACACTCTGCCTTCACCGCACACTCGGGTATTTTGGTCATATTGATCGGAAAACACTGATAGTTAGAGACACTATTCGTAGCAGGTTTTAACCCACAGACACAGCCCACGGAGTTTCTCGCCAGATCTTCTTAGTGGGTCGCGGTTCCGATCCGGTGGTAGATTCTGCGAAGCACGGCTCTTGCTAGGGTTCGTGTTAGCAACGTCGTCAGGTTTGAGCCCCGTGAGCTCCACCTACTAGTTAAGGTTACGCTGAAATAGCCTCTCAAGGTTCTCAGCTTAGGTAGGAAAAAAAAAGTTATGAACTTTTTCAATACTGGGTATTGTAAGGCCATGTGGTGGGTGCAACTCTTTCAGGGTTTTGGGAAGAGTAGCGCCTCAAGACAAGACTGTCTATACTCCGCACTCTAGTACTTCGGTCATATTGATCGGAAAACACTGATAGAGACACTATTCGTAACAGGTTTTAACTCATAGACACAGCCCATTGTGTTTTTCGCCGGATCTTCTCAGTGGGTCGCGTTTCCGATCCGGTGGTAGATTCTGCGAAGCACGGCTTTTGCTAGGGTTCGTGTTAGCAACGTCGTCAAGTTTGAGCCCCGTGAGCTCACCTACGCGTTAGGGCGAAGCTGATATAGCCTCTCAAGGCTTAGATGTATTTATGGGTTTCGTCAACCGCAGTGCTTATACCAATGTATATATATACTAATATTATAAAGAAGAAAGATTTGTTTCTTTGTTTGTATTGAATAGGCTCCGAAACTACTGAACCGATTTGAAAAATTCGTTTAGTGTTTGGAAGATACATTATTGCCGAGTGATATATGCTATAATTTTTTATATTATTTTGTTATAGACAGAACCCTGGTGAGGAGTATAGGCTACCTTCTATCCCATAGACAGATTAATGAGGGTCTTGTACGTTCCTATTTCTGCCATGAAGCAGTAAAGCGTTTCGGTTCGAAAAGTGGGGCAGCCAATGTACTGTTACAACGGAGACCTTAGAACTCTTGTCTCGTGGAGGTTGGCGGCAAAAAAGATTTTCTGTTATGGTAGCGTCGTTTCTCTAGTTGATAAATAAAAGTGCCATCAATTTTTTTTTATTGTTTAGTTGGGTGGACGAGCTAACAGCCCACCTGGTGTTAAGCGGTTACAGTAGCCCATAGACATCTACAACGTAAATGCGCCACCCACCTTGAGATATCAGTTCTAAGGTCTCAAGTATAGTTACAACGGCTGCCCCACCTTTCAAACCGAAACGCATTACTGCTGCACGGCAGAAATAGGCTGGGTGGTGGTACCCACCCGCGCGGAGTCACAAGAGGTCCTACCACCCGTCGTAGTGTCAATTCTCTAGTTGATAATAAAAATGCCATCAATATTTCCGACTCACCCATGAACCCTGGAGAGCACTTGCAGATGTACCCCTCGAGGAGGTCCACGCAGGTCGCGTTGTTTTGGCACCGGTTCCCGAGGCAGTCGTCCACGTTGACCTCGCACCGCAGCCCCGTGTAGCCCGGCTGGCAGGAGCAGCTGCGGGATATACGGGTCTGGTGGTCTGATAGCACTGCATGGGCCGATGAGCTCACCATCAACACTTAGCCTTCAATTATTAAAGGGCCCCATAGACAAAGGGTAATGTAAAAGTGTAGAGGCCTTATTTCAAAACGGAACGTTTGATTCATAGTGGAATTGGGAGGGAAGGAAGGTTGCCCATGCGACAGACCGGCAAATCAAGTCGGCAGTTGGCGGTTGTTTGCATGAGTGTACCAGCCTCACCACAGACCGGGAGAACTAGCGATTGCTCGTGAGGCGCATAGCATCTGCCCACAACAATGTCACTGAATGACACTGAATGAAAACCAAGTCATAATATTCGACCCTCCTGTTTGGCAATACAAATTGGTGATACCTACTGGAACCTGCCCTCTTCCAAGACTTGGCACTGTCCGTTGGCGCACGGCGACCCGTAGCAGGCGTCTATTTGGAATTGACACGCGTTGCCATGGTAGCCGCGGGCGCAGACGCACTCGAACCCTCCCCCGGCGCCGGGGAGGCACTTCCCCCCGTTCAGGCAGGGGTTGCTGTAGCAGCGGTCGCATTTCGATATGATCTCCGCCGGCGGGTTGCCTAAAGTGTCACACGTAAGGGTTAGACTAGACTAGACTTTATGGTTCACCAAAACATATGGTAATTTACATTGGAAATAATGGAGGGGTAGGTATAGTGTTGAATAAATAAATTTATATAGTAGATCATAAAAGTATTTGTAAACGTTTTGGTACAGATTATTTAAATTGATGTGTGTTATCTGTGCAACCTGTGCTAATGTATTCTGATGTGGCTTGAGAGCAAATATACTTTCATTGTGTCCTTTATAAATCTGATTAGAGTTTTATTGAAACACTGCCAAATTCCAATATATAGTCTGTGCAAGACGCGGTCTTATCGCTAAAGGCGATTTCTTCAGTTTAGTTTGCGTTTATTTCTGCCGCAATACTCTTGGTGGCGTCAAGTAAAGGTAGATGCTTCCAGGAGTTATTTCCTGAATATGGTTAACTTGGAGACCAAAATTTTTTGGCCTATCTAACGACTAGTAATTCGAGGAGTTATTCTGGCTTGACTTGGCATGATTGTAGGCGAGAGCTGACGAGCCTCAGCCGTGGCCAGTATTGGTCCTAACAAGAGCAGTGCGACGTTGAATCTAGCACCGGACCGGAATCGCGACCCACTGAGAAGATCCGGCTCAAGTTGCACGTCAAACTCTTCCAATGAAATTGGAATTCCTAAAAACACAGAGTGAGTCGGAAGGATTCGTAATAACGATCTGTGCGACGCCCCGACGTCTGGTGTTCGAAGATGCAAGAGTAACGCCATCTATCGACGAATAGCTGAAAAGAATATCAAAGGATATAAGAATAACGTCGAGAAGTATAACGCCATCTATTGTCAGATAGCGGAAACACATATCGACGCTATTCGATTTGCTCAGAATGTTCTCGATAATTCTAGGGATGTCGTATCGGCTATAAAAGCGTTGCAGAGATGGCACGAAGTCAGTCAGCAATCGAAATTACTCGAAGCGAAACATCGAACGGATCACCTGAAGCGAAGCGGAATTGAGAATTTTAAGGTGTCCATTCAGTGTTTTAAGTTAAATACAGTTTTAATTTGCACACCGGTAGAAATTTTATGTATCCCGAACCCCAACGCGTAGCAGTACCATAAGCGTACTGGTTCAACCGTGCAATGTTAGCTTACAATGCAATATGGCTTCGCAAACCCTGACATGTTGATACGTACCTGTGCATACAAAAGCAGAGGAGGCAGTGCTCAAAAGCAGTTTGTCCTTCATGGCGGGAGGCTCAGCGCACCTCGCTATGCCGGCCTCGACGAACTCCCCCGCGCTTTGAACCCACTCCGAGAGCCAGCGGGAGTGGCAGTCGCAGTACAGGGGGTTGGAGCCCAGCGCTCTGAGGGACCACATCACATCTGTAGAGGGCTGTTGGTAGGACGTTTAGCGGCGAGTAGTATCACCATCCAGTAATTTATTGCTAAGATGGGTGGACGAGTTCACAACCCACCTGCTATTAAGTGGTTTCTGGAGCCCATAGACCATCAGAAGTTCTAAGGACTTAGTATACTTACAACGGCTGCCCCACCCTTCAAGGCGAAACGCTTCACGGCAGAAATAGGCTGGGTGGTGGTACCTAGCCGTGCGGTTGGAGGAGACAGCCATTGTCTAGTTGATCTTCGACTTTCTATCTCGTATTGGATACTCACGTTGTGATATCTATGGGAAACTTACTACCAATAAAACGGTTGAACATCGACAATGCTAGAGAATCAGTCGCTATTGCTGCAAATACTGTCATTAAGCCTCATCGAAGAAATACATCCAGCGCTGCAGAAATGACGTTATGGGAAGTCGATTTGTGTCCCAAGAGACCCCGCACTGGTGGATGTGGTTCCTGGTAAAAACCGCTTCATAAGCAACGAACGGTCTGATGCTGGTGGTTCCCCCGCAGGCCCCTCCCGGGGGCAGATACTCACACGTGCGATATGGACTCTAGGTCCCTGAACACGCCATCCGCGAGCAGCGATATGTTGTTGCCGTGAAGGGACAACACCCGCAGCTGACTCAAACCCTTCAGGGCGTCCCTCTGAAAGAAAAATAATTGAAAACAGCGCCATCTATATGTCATAAAACGAAACTGGACGGACGCCATCTTTTCTTCCACGCAGTTCAGAATTTACTTTTTTTTCCCTGCCTATGCTGATAGCCTTGAGAGGCTATTTTAGCTTCTCCTTGACGTGTAGGTGAGCTCACGGGGCTCAAACCGGGGTGATACTAACACTGGCCCTAGCAAGAGCAGTGGTTCGCAGAATCTACCATCGGATCGGAAACGCGACCCACTGAGAAGATCCGGCAAGAAACTCAGTGGGCTGTGTCTGTGGGTTAGTTTACTCTTAGAGCCTTCTCAGCTTCTCTGTTACAGGTGCCACTTTCACTTTATTTATCGATACAATAACGAGATTTTTTTTATTGCTTAGATGGGTGGACGAGCTCACAGCCCACCTGGTGTTAAGTGGTTACTGGAGCCCATAGACATCTACAACGTAAGTGCGCCACCCACCTTGAGATACAAGTTCGAAGGCCTCAAGTAATACATCGCATACGGGTATACCCGGATCTGTGTGGGCGGACCCCTCTTACCTGGACACATCTCAGCCTGTTGTAGCTGACGATGAGCGTGGACAGCTTGGTGAGGCCCTCGAAGGTGTTGTTGCCGAGGACGCTGATCTTATTGTTGGACAGGTCCAGCCGGGTCAGCTGCGTGAGGTGGCGGATTTGATCCGGCGGGATCGAGGTTAGCTCATTCGACTCTAGGTATCTGTAACGAGGGGTCTGAAGGTACCGTGCTGGTCTCACGACGTGATGCGGATAGTTATGAGGTAAGCACTACTGTCGTTTTATTTTATTGCTTGTTGAGTGGACGAGCTCCCGGTCCACCTGGTGTTATGTGATTACTGGAACCCATAGACATCTACAACGTAAATGCCTCCACCTTCCTCGAGATATGAGTTCTAAGGTCTCAGTAGAGTTGCAACGGCTGCCCCACCCTTCAAACCGAAACGCATTACTGCTTCACGGCAGAAATAGGCAGGGCGGCGGTACCTACCCGTGCGGACTCACAAGAGGTCTTACCACCAGTAATTACGCAAATTATAATTTTGCTTCATTTTTATTACACGATGTTATTCCTTCACTGTGGAAGCCAATCGTGAACATATGTTGAGTACGTATTCATTAGAAAAATTGGAACCCGCCTGCGGGATTCGAACACTGGTGCATCGCTCAACACGAATGCACCGGACGTCTTACCCGTTAGGCCACGACGACTTCAAAACTTTTCTTACACTATTTTTAATTCAAATTTATTAAAATTTATTTTCTATTTTTTAGTTAGATTTTCTATAAAAGCGTATTTTGTTAGATTTTTTTAAACTATTATTTATTTTTCTGTTTTTAGTTGAATTTCAATTTTTTCAAATTTTTTTTCTATATATTTTTTTAAATATTGTGTTGTTATCGGTCTTTAATAAGTATACCAAATTACGAGCTAATCCGACGTTTTGAAGGGGCTGAAAATCATGTTCAAAGATTCCTTTACAAAAATACATACGTCTGAAGCTAATAAAAGCGTATTAATAAATAATTCAATACTCACAGCTCGGTTGTTTGCTTGGGGATGTTGGCTGGCAGAGAGGTGAGCTTCGCCCGGGAACACCGGACCACGGTCCCAGTGCACGAGCACTGAGCCGGGCAATACTCAGGCGACAGACAACCTTTGTCCTCGGCTGGAAGAGAGCATAATGGCGGAACTGATCTTAAGCACTTTGTAACTTTTTATTTATTTATTTTTTATTTCCCTTGTAGGCAGGCGAGCATACGGCCCACCTGAAGGTGAGTGGTTACCGTCGCCCATGGACTTCAGCAATGCCAGGGGCAGAGCCAAGCCGCTGCCTACCGCTAAACGGTAAGCTTATGAATGTCTTGCGTTAAGCTACGAAGCTCTATGTTATTACTAAGTTATTATGTTATTACTGTAGGATTGAAACGTATGAATGAGTGTGGAACGCGTAAAGATGTGAGTGAGAGAGAACGGTAAGAAAGAGAATAGAGAATGACAGACGGAATAACAGAGAAAAGGAAGATGGCGTAGATGGTTAAATGAACAATGTGTAAAAAAAGTGACAATTATTTTTTTAATTATTATATTTTAGAAGATTTTGGAAGAGAAGAGTAAAAGCGCAACAGTGAAATAATTTTATTTTATGTGTCACATTCCCAATACATTTCTCGATGTTTTTACAAAAAGCATCTTGAAAGAGAATTATAAAGGAACAAATCTTTGTTCCAATTGTTTATTCAGAATATGAATTCTCAATTACTTTCAAAAAATCCACCAAAATCTCAGTAAATAGCCACAATTTTACTGAAAATTTATTTAATTTCATCTCATAGCCTTACATTTAATTTCATCCCAATTGATTGAAGTCACAAATAAAGTTTTTCATATAACAGAATATATAAAAGGTTCGGCTGCACGATATGTAGTACTTTAGTCTTTCCTGTTAGAAAAAAGGAACTATTACTACCAATATTACTACTGTTATGGAATGAGCTCCCCCACGATGTTTCCCGAGCGCTATGACATGTCCTTCTTCAAACGAGGCTTATGGTAAAGTACTTAAAGGTAGCGGCTTGGCTCTGCCTCTGGTATTGCTGAGGTCCATGGGCGACAGTAACCACTCACCTTCAAGTGGGCCGTATGCTCGTCTGCCTATAAGGCCAACAAAATATGTTATGTTGAAGAGCCGCTGGAATTTTCTCGAAGGAGTGTCCTGGAAACATTTTTGATTAATAGATTACACTAACGGGTGCATTTAAAGTCAGCCGGCTCGAGGTGGTGGATGCTGGCGTCTCTGAGCGCGGCCGGGTAGCCACACGTGGCTGTCGTCGACAAACGCCGCGATCGCAGCCACTGCGCCAGCCACGACATGTGACAGGTGCACGACAGCGGGTTCGATGACAGCTCACTGAAGGATGACAGAAGTGACTCATGTCAAAATGACAGATGAGCTATGGAGGGTAGAGGTAAGCGCCATCTTGTATAGGGGACAAGTTGATAAAGTGTCCGTGTGTAAACAGTGAGTTGTTGTTGGAAGGCTACAATTATCAGAACTGGACTAATTGAAATGGGACCACACGGTGTTTCCCGAGCGCTATGACATGTCCTTCTTCAAACGAGGCTTATGGAGAGTATTAAGCGGTAGGCAGCGGCTTGGCTCTGCCAACACAAACTGAAAACAAAATTGTTTATTTTTCATTTTTTGTTTAAGTACCTAGCATGTATGTATCATAAATTATTAATTAATGTCCATTCAGTCAAATACAAATGATTCCAAAAGACTGTGAAAAAAAGAAAGCTCTCAAATGAATTTGTGGTTTTGACTGACGAAAGTATTTATTATTATTATTTTTTTATTTACTAACAATCACGCCACGTTAACTGGTCCGTGACCGTGATAAGTTCGTAAAGAACTTGTGTTACAGGTACCAGATAACAGAAATAAATGTAAGATTTTTATTATACACATACATATATTTATTATACATCCATAACCCTGGAAAATACATTTTATATTTATCATACAAATATCTTCCCTTGGCGGGATTCGAAGCCGCGACCCCCTTTTATTGCTTAGATGGATGGACGAGCTCACAGCCCAGCTAGTGTTAAGTGGTTACTGGAGCCCATAGACATCTACAACGTAAATGCGCCACCCACCTTGAGATATAAGTTCTAAGGGTCTCAGTACAGTTACAACGGCCAATTAAGTAATATTGTTTATACGTAGATGGTCGCCGCGGAAACTTAATTCAGAGAAAACTTGAAAGCTTAACAAAAATACTTCACATGAGTCGACTATTATCAAAGGCGGCAATCTGACTTTTGGACAATGATTGGTAAATCAGAAAAACGAATTATTGACTTTGTATTCCATTGGCAGTCACAAAACTCTTCGGAACGACATCTTAGATAAATAACAGGTTAACTATTAACCTTTATTTAATGCAGGTTTTGAACCGTATTCTTTGAAGGAGACGATTATATTCAAATAAATCTGTATTGACATATCAATAAATTTTTTTTGTCCAAATGTACAGATTGCCGCCTTTGATAATAGACGACTCACATACGATGTATTAACGTTTTACCGCATATATGAAGTTAAAAAAAGCTCATCTAAGCACACAGCTTAGAGCCTCCTGCGTAGAATTGATCAGACGATACGAGGATGCGACCTCAGCCAGTTGTACCTGGTGATCTTTCTTTTTTTTGTTAAGTGGTTACTGGAGTCCATAGACATCTACAACGTAAATGCGCCACCCACCTCGAGATATAAGTTCTAAGATCTCAGTATAGTTACATGTGTAGTGATCATGCCACTTACCACTACACCAGACGGCCGTTTAAGCGCCCGTTCACCGTTAAATTAACGGGTCTAACTGTTTAAAATATTGAATTGTCATCGCTCCTTGATGAGTATAGTAAATTTCGAGTTAATCCGACGTTTTGAAGGGGGTCAAAATCATGTTCAAAAACTCCGTTACATACTAAAATACGTATGAAGCTAATAAAAGCGTATTAGAAAAATCGGTTGTCTGTAAAGTCGGTTTACTGACGATAGTAGAACGTGACAACGTCATAAGAAAATATTGTTGGAATGGTTTCATTTTTCAAAAGAAAATTTTACATTTATTTGTTTTTTGACATTTTTTGTATGGACAATTGACACCACATTAACTTTTCACTGAACTTCATACTTGACGAAAACATGTAAATGTATTATTGTATAGCAGCTGTCCACGCGGATGCATCGCTCACTCAAGTAGGAGAGAGAGAGATGTCGAACGCTGCCGAACGCGGAGGCCGATTGTGCCTCTTTGTCGCTCGTTGCGCGCTCTCGCTTGCACTTCAAGCCTTAAATAGAACGCCTCAGAGCGAGGTAACACCGCATGAGTCATGTTTTTTCGTGCGTGCAGCCGGCTCCATCGAATTATAAATAAGAAGTTGTCACGTCAAAATTCCGTTACTTACATACTAACATAAGTATGAAGGTATTATAATAAATTGTATTAAAAACCAAACAATTTTCCATCGTCAACTGTTAAGCATGGGTAGAAGGTGAACAAATTAAGATAAACTAGTGGTCCCCTGGTAGTCGAAATTCGACTATAACTAATGGAAATTAGGTATAAGTTTGTACACTATTATGATTCTATTGTCAAGGACTATTTATTATACTACTTCTTTAATCACAGATTTCGTTAACACTTTAGACAAATATTAATAAAGAGAAAACAGTATTTAATCTATTCTCAATTTGACAGATTATAACTGACAGCCTGCAAAGAAAAGTTTGAGAATAAACAAATAGTATGCATGCGGGTGTGTGTGTGTCAAATACATGGTAGGGTGTGTAATGTTTTCTTTATTGATTTAATGTATCTTTTATGCATTATTTAAAAAAAAAATTAGCATTGTGCACTTCTTCTCTATAATCTCTATAAGTGTGGAAAAATTCATACTCCTCCGTCCGCGCAATTTTCGGAAAAAGGGATACAAAGTTTTTGCTTCACGTATTAATATATAGATTCCACACAAAGACCAAGCTAAGCTACTTACAGCGTTGAGAGCGTGGTGAGATGGTCAAATGCGCCCGGTGTGATGCATTTAATCTTGTTATGCGTTACTGATCTGCAACATGAAGAAATACCGTCATTAAACTGTTGCCGTAAGTGATGGTAGGAAATCTTGTAAGTCCGCGTGGGTAGGTACCACCGCCCCGCCTATTTCTGCCGTGAAGCAGTAATGCGTATCGATTTGAAGGGCGAGGTAGCCGTTGTATTTTGAATTCGTCGTGGCCTAAAGGATAAGACGTCCGGTGCGTTCGTATGTAGCGATGCACCGGTGTTCAAATCTCGCAGGCGGGTACCAATTGTTCTAATGAAATACGTACTCAACAAATATTCACGATTGACTTCCACGGTGAAGGAATAACATCGTGTAATAAATATCAAACCCGCTAAATTATAATTTGCGTAATTACTGATGGGTGCACCTCTTGTGAGTCCGCATGGGTAGGTATCACCAATCTGCCTATTTCTGCCGTGAAGCAGTAATGCGTTTCGGTTTGAAGGGTGGGGCAGCCGTTGTAACTATACTGAGACCTTAGAACTCATATCTCAAGGTGGGTGGCGCATTTACGTTGTACATGTTGTACGTTGTACACTTAACATCAGGTGGGCTGTGAGCTCGTCCACCCATTTAAGCAATAAAAAAAAAGTCGAATTTAACAGAGCTTGGCGATCTCTTGATACGCGCTGTGGACGCACAAGCTCTTCTGCAGCCTCTGAGGACCCGCCGCTATACTCACAGAACATTAAGACTGTGGAGTCCGAAGAACATTTTGTCGGTGACGGTCTGCAGCAGGTTGCCATCCAGCAGCATCTCCTGGATGCTGGCGGCGCCGTCAAACGCGTTGTCCTCAATGACCGATATGCCTAGACATTTTTTTTAATGAGATTTTATGACCTGTTAACTAAAAAAACCTTTAAGTCATGTCTTATTTTAATTTATATTCTTATGTTTATGAAAAATTATATTATGGAGTGAAATGAAATGAAGATGATTAATTTGAGACATTAATCAACTGGGATGAAATTAAATTAAATAAGATGAGATAATATGGGATGAATTATAATCTCAGTAAAATGGTAGTCATTTACTGAGATTTTTTCAGTGGACTTTTTGGAGGATCCCGAGAAGTTATGTCCACTGCGACTTTGTTTTATGTTCCCACATTTGTGCACTTTCACAGATATTAAACAGTTAATAAACTACCGTTATTACACATTTAAAACTGAAGAAACACTAAATAGACAAAATAAAACAAATCACACAACTTCACTCCTCGCGTTCCCGCCAAAAAGAGATATGCTTAGACACGTTTCCAAAACGATGGTACTGGAAGTCGTAAGATGGGCTGATAGCCAACGAGGTGGACGGTCTGGGCAAAATATCCGGTTAGGACTAGATACGGAAGGCTATCTAAGGGTACGGAGTGCATGTGACGAAAATACAGAAATGTCCTTCTCTACGGCAAGTTGCGATGCATATCGACGCTTGAAAGGCGAACGTGACATTAACTGCTTTGTACATAAATGATAGGCAATAACCATATTCGATGCGTAAAAAAAAAAAATTTCTACGTCTATTAAAATCATTTCAATCCTACAGCTAGATTCGTTAAAATATAATTTTTTTCAGGTATTTCAACTTTAAATTAGTCTGCTGTGAAGTTCACGTATTGCCGCTTAGTCACGTTTGCCTTTCAAGCGTCGATATGTTACTGGAATTCAATGAGGGTTGGCGTCAGACAGGCAGGTGGTACGAGTCATGCCACATCCCTGTGCAACATGATAAGACATGCTGCACCAAGCCCACATGATGTGGGATTACAGCAAGATGAAGAACACAGCGCGGTGTCGACTGTCCATTCTTTTCTTAAAATAGGTCTTTAGACCTTTCTTTATCTTTGAATACGAAATATTCGTCGAAAGCAATTGTTCAAGTAATGAAATGATTGATGCAAAATATAGGAAAACTAGATGATGACCGGTTTTTTTTTTGATAACGCCATTTGTTGTGTCTTTAAAGCGGTTAGTTGCCCTCAATTAAGAAAAATAGTATTATTATTCGCCAATAGATGTCGGGAAGAGTTGATTATTGAAAACATGAATAAAACAACATTTTCTGAAAATAAATCGTAGCTAGATCGATTTATCGCCCCCGAAATCCCCTATATACTAAATTTTATGAAAATCGTTGGAGCCGTTTCCGAGATTCAGATTATATACATATATATTAATATACAAGAATTGCTCGTTTAAAGGTATAAGATATAGTTGGTTATTGTGTGCGTGAGCCAATCATAAGCCATTATACGAAAAGGATATTGTATGGTATTAGTGCGCATGTAATTTAATCAATGAGTCCTTTGTCCTGAGCTTTTAAGGCTGATGATTTAATTTTTGTTGTCTATCTTAAGCAACCGTCCTCCACCTAGGACCGACTGTCAACTTTATCTCATCCTCACATCTCATCCTCCCATCTCATCCCTTGCCTGCCTTTATGCCTGTTAATAAACTTAAAACAAACAAAAGGAATCGTCCGACGGGGGACACATCAAAGGAAAAACCATATTGTAATTTTTATTTAATTCCGAGCATTTTCATATTTATTTACCTTTTAAACCTTCTCTGGACTTCCACAAATAATTCAAGACCAAAATTATCCAAATCGGTCCAGGCGTTCTCGAGTTTTAACGAGACTAACGAACAGCAATTCATTTTTATATATACTAATATATAGATATAATATAATATTACCACCGTTGAAATTTCAGAGAAAATAAATAATAGTTTAAGTTGTATTTTATTGTAATAAAAGCGTGGGGTGCATGATATGAGTAGTTATAATTATTTTATGAACAGATATAAAATCATTTTTTCTTACACTATCTTTAATGATTAAAATTTATTTTAGTTTAATTTCAAATATTTTAATTTTTTTTTTTTTTTAAATATTGAATTGTCATCGGTCCTTAATAATCATACTAAATTTCGAGTTAATCCGACGTTTTGAAGGGGGTCAAAAGCATGTTCAAAGATTCCGTTACATACTAACATAATATACATACGTCTGAAGCTAATAAGCGTATTATTTTTAATAGGCTCTGAGACTAAGCTATTGAGTATATTTGATATAGATTTGTGTTGGGCTTACTGCCCACTGCCTACCGTTGTTCCTGAAGTCCAGTTTGGTGAGGTCCGGCAGCCTCCCGAAGAGTCCGTCAGATTTTATCTGTCCCAAATTATTGTCCGACATCATTCTGTGAACATTTGCAACAGTGTCAGTATCGCGTAGCGCGTGACCGCTACCGGCTAATGGCGCACACTACATCAGAGAGGCCTTCGGGTGGCACGAGACTAATTTTTTTTTTAATTGCTTGGATGGGCGGATGAGCTCACAGCCCACCTGGTGTTGAGTGGTTACTGGAGCCCATGGACATCTACGACATAAATGCGCCACCCACCTTGAGATATAAGCTCTAAGGTCTCGAGTATAGTTACAGCTGCTGCCCCGCCCGTCAAACCGAAACGCATTACTGCTTCACGGCAGAAATAGGCAGGTTGGTGGTACCTACCCGCGCGGACTCACAAGAGGTTCTACCACCAGTAAGATTCTGCGAAGTACTGCTCTTGCTAGGGCCCGTGTTAGCAACACTTCCGGTTACAGCCCCGTGAGCTCACCTACACGTCAAGGTGAAGCTGATATAGCATATGTAGGAAAAAGAAGAGCATACTCACAGCAGCCTGGTGTTGAGGGGTAGGTCCCGGGGCAGGTCGCGAAGGCCGGCGCGCTCACAACGCACGGACAGCGACCGCAGCGCCGCCGCCTCGCACGTGCACGCTGCCGGGCACCACGCTGCGCCCCCGCACGCCGCCGCCTCCCCCGCGCCCTCACCCGCTGGACCGGGATCACGTACGTGTATAATAAATACTGCTACGCCGGTAAGAGTAGCGCCATCTATCGCCGAATAGTCGAACGAATATCAAAGGATCTAGTACGCTCGAGAATTACAACGCCATCTATTGTCACATAGCGGAAACTGCTACTAGAGAGGTGTGGAATATTCTCGATAATTCTAGGGATGAGGTACTGGATATAAAAGCGTTGCAGGGATGGCACGCAGTCAGTCAGTCAGTAATCGGAATTACTCGAAGCGAAACAGCGAACTGATCACCTCAAGCGAAGCGGAAGTAGCGAATTGAGAGTATTAAGTGTTGTTGAGTGTTTTAAGTGTTGACTACAATTTTTAGTTGTACTTTGGTGAAATTTTATTTATCCCGAACCCTCAGTGCGTTACAATATAACAACTAGGAACAAATCACGCACGGTCGGTCGGATAGGCAGCGGTTTGGCTATGCCTCTAGCATTGCTGAAGCCCATGGGCGACGGTAACCACTCATCAGGTGGACCGTATACTCGCCTGCCTAAAAGGGCAATAAAAAATTTGGAAGCAACTGAAGATTTATCTTTAAGAGCACGGAGCGTGTGGCACTACTCTAGCAACTGGTGGTTCCTACCATACCTATGCTTTTTTTTACTGGTGGTAGGACCTTTTGTGAGTCCGCGCGGGTAGGTACCATTTCTGTTGTGAAGCAGTAATGCGTTTCGGTTTGAAGGGTGGGGCAGCCGTTGTAACTATACTTGAGGTCTTAGAACTTATCTCAAGGTGGGCGCATTTACGTCGTAGATGTCTATGGGCTCCAGTAACCACTTAACCCCAGGTGGGCTGTGAGTTCGTCCACCCATCTAAGCAATAACAAAGAAAAAAAAAGATATATCTTTAAGAGCACGGAGCGTGTGGCACTACCCTAGCAACTTCGATGGCAACTCACGTTTGCATTTGAAGTTCTCTTCCCTGAGAGCGTCGATTCGCTTTTTGTTCATGCGCTTCGGAGAGTCACACTTGGCGCCGGACGTCTCTATGGGGTTCTTGCGCAAGTAGGCGGCCAGCCAGCGAAGAGAGCAGTCACATACGAACGGATTCCGACCTAAATGCCTGTGGCGCAAGGTAAATATTACAGTGCCAAACTTTTGTATGTTCATATCTAATCGAATTGAGGTCTTGCGAAGCTGGTACTACCAGTGGTTCCTGGTTCGTTGTCGATTAGCTGATGCACGGGGTCCCCTCAGGAGGTACTCTTGTATCATAGTTCGTTTTAGATGTCGGGACCACAAAGATTGAACGGAGATATGGTGGCAGACGGAAATCCCTTCTCAAGTTCGACAAAGTGTACTTAACTATTTATTATTGCTATTAAGATTACTGGTGGTAAGACCTCTTGTGAGTCCGCTTGGGTAGGTACCACCACCCTGCCTATTTCTCTCGTGAAGCAGTAATGCCTTTCGATTTGAAGGGTGGGGCAGCCGTTGTAACTATATTGAGACTTTAGATGGCGGCATTTTCGTTGTAGATGTCTATGGGCTCGTCTACCCAACGATGCAATAAAAAAAAGATCGTTGCGAGAAAAGGATTTTACAATTCAAAGGCAGCTGCTTCGTGAATACATCCATTGCCGGATCGGAGTCGCGACCCATAAGACCTGGTGAGACTCAGCGATCTGACGTTGAGGCCGAGTGACCTATGCTTCGTTTCCTGCGATTAACACGCTGAAAGTGGACCACACGGGTCCGCAGGGACTTATTCAGGTCGTCGATGAGGGTCATAGTGTTGCCATATACTTCTACTGGCTTCGAGACCCAGGTGATCGTGATACCTTACGTAAGAAAGAACGGGTTTGTCAATTGAGCATTTTCCTGATGAATACTCACAAGGTCTGGATTCCCGTCAAAGCATCGAAGGTACCATTCGGCAATGATCGTATATTGTTGTCGTATAAAGACCTGGAAAAATATGTTTACACGCTGAAAACTTCAATATATGATATTAATAAAACATGCTCCTTTTTGATATCAGTTCGAGGGCTCGCAAAGACGTCTGCTGTTAAAACTGAGATCTTACAACTCGTGTCCCGAGGTGGGTGGCGGCATTTACGTTCTAGATGTCTTTAGGCTTCGGTTAACAATTAACATCAGATGGACCGTGAACTCGTCCACCGACTGAGCTATAAAAAAGTACAATTGAGATTATGGCCTTATGTCTCAACGGGCATGTTGAGATTCAAGTGAGGTCTATGGGCTTAGTTTGCTAGTGGTGGTAGGGAGTCTTGTGATTCCACACGGGTAAGTTTTAAGTAGTTGTTGTAGAGAAAATAGAGGGTAATCAGCAGAATACTTATATGTTGAAGATATGGAGGGTAGAAGTAAGGACCACCATCGCAATGCATTAAAAAGAGTCCTTTAAAAGGGTGTCAATTAAGGTGACGTCACAGTAGCAAATGAAAAGATTTTAATAAAAGCGCCATAAACTACCACACTTCACTTCAATCCAGCACGTGTTGGTAGGACGTGTTGTGAGTCCGCGCCGGTAGATACCACCGCCTTGCCTATTTCTTTATTGCCGTGAAGCAGTAATGCGTTTCCGTTTGAAGGGCGGGGCAGCCGTAGTACTGTATAGCCTGAGACCTTAGAATTCATGTCTCCAAGTGTGCGACGTCATTTAGGTTATTGATGACTATGACTTCCAATAACCACTTAAGGACCAAACATTGAATCAATATATAAAAACAAATAGCTGTTGAAGAGTTATCAGCCTCCCATCATCAGAACATCGCGTTGTGCAATATTCTTCTGTTCCCGTCTGTACTGTACTGTAGGCAGCGGCTTGGCTCTGCCCCTGGCATTGCTGAAGTCCATGGGCGACGGTAACCACTCACCATCAGGTGGGCCGTATCCTAGTCTGTCTACAAGGGCAATGAAAAAAAAACATGCCTGCATAGTTTCTTGGTAGCGAACCAAGTTTATGTACAGGGTGTTCAAAATTGAAAATGCACTCACAGTAATTTTAGATTCTCTAAATCACGGAACGTGTCCTTTTTGACGCACGTAATCTCATTCGAGTTCAGCAGTCTGTAATTAAGAAATCAGAGGCGGCTTTAGAAAGTGGCAGATGTGACAGAGAAGGTTGAGAAACACGCGTTTGGGGTGGTATGGACATGTGATGAGACGAAATGAAAATGAGGTTGGTAAGAGAGTTTTAAATATGTACGTGGAAGGCTTAAGAGGAAGAGGTAGACCTAAGAAAAATATGGATAGATTGCGTGAAAGACGATATGTGTAATAGGAAAGTGAGCGAAGGAATGGTGTATGATAGAGTAGTATGGAAGGAGATAACATGTTGCAACGACCCCAGGTGATTGGGAGAAGGGCAGGATAATGATGATGAAGATGTCAGAGGCGGCTTTAAGGGGTATAGGATATGGGACAGTCCGTTAGGGGGGCACCGGTCTTGGCACTCTCAATGGTACTGTTACATTTGTAGTCGTCGTGCCCTAAGGGATAAGACGTCCGGTGCAATCGTATGTAGCGATGCACCGGTGTTCGAATCCCGCAGACGGGTACCAATTATTCTACTGAAATACGTACTTAACAAATGTTCACGATTGACTTCCACGGTGAAGGGATAACATCGTGTAGTTAATAAAAATCAAGCCCGCAAAAATTATAATTTGCGAAATTACTGGTGGTAGGTACCACTACTCTGCCTATTTCTATTGTGAACAGTAATGCGTTTCGGTTTGAAGGGTGGGGCAGCCGTTGTTCTGTCAAAAGTGAGACATTACAACTATGTCTCAAGGTGGGTGGCGGCATTTACGTTGTAGGTGTCTATGGGCTTCGGTAATCACTTAAGACCAGGTGGGACGTGAGCTCGTCCACCCATCCAAGCAATAAAAAAATAAAAAAACTTATTACATTTCAAGCGCACGCTTACTAGATCCTCCTCTTTGGGTCGATAATCCTTAACGCCCTCAGCATAGACAAAGGACGTATTATAAAAAAACAATTGTGCAGTTTTTAAGACCTGTGAATTATGTGAAACTTACAATAATTGGAGAGATCCCAGCCCGTGGAATACTCCCGACGGCAAATCCTTTATTTTATTTCCGTACAAGACTCTGTGAAATAAATTCATTTAACATTATATTATCATATTTTTGAAACTTGGTTTACTGTTCTATAAATAGGTAAATACAAATTATTATTGTCCTTACATATTTATTTATTGTAAAATGTCTAGTGAGTTTGATAGGCGATCATACTTTTTTTTTTGTCCATTATCACTATTTATCTGTATCTTCATTTTTAAAGCATCAATATCAAACAAAAGAGAAAATTCGACGCATAAAATGAATCTAAGTCTTCAGGCATTAGTTATTAGGGTGGAATTTTGAGTGTTGGATGAATTAGTGTGTGTTAGTTTTTTTACGATTGAAGGATTACTGGTGGCCTTTCCAGTTTCACCAGGACAGGTGGGTGAGCAAAGGCTCAGTCAGGAGGGGTGGGATTTGCTAACAGCTGCCCGAGCGCCTCCGAAGGAGATCTAACAACTCAAGAGCAGCTGCTTCGCGAATGAATCTACTACCGGATCGGAATCGCGACCCGCTGAGAAGATCCGGGGAGAAACTCAGCGGACTGATGTTCAGGTTAGGTTCCACGTCGACCTCTTTGTCGAGTTCGACGAGTACGGTTACCGGGGTCCCTAAGCTGGCACCTAGTGTTAGAACTGAAGGCGTCTAATGCAAGAGTTATTGGATCTGATGGATCCGTAAGGACGTGTCTAGGGCGTCGACGGTGACTGGCTCCTGCATGATCAGGATTCGGGATGTAGTCAGCGGCGGCAACGATAAGGCGATTATCATGACGCCTTATCGAAGTAGCTTTCTGACGCTAGCTTCATTTGTTTTCGTTGTGTTAGTACTGTTGTCAGAACGTCCAGTTTTGCAGATTCCAAGATTCTTTATCGGAGCACTCACAGTGAGGTTAAATGTACGAGTCCTTGGAATGTGTCCGCTGAGATTTTGGCGATCTTGTTGTTGGACAGGTCGATCCTGGTCACCCTCTTTATGGATGAGAAGGCGCCGCTGCCGACTTCGGTTATCTCGTTCTGTTCCAAGCGACTGAAAAGAGACAGAAGCAGCTTTCATCATCAGTAGCTCGCTCGGCTTTGTGTCATCGCAAACTGTGCAAAGGTTTTGTGACTTAAATAGGTAGCTAAGTGGGAGACAGGCTGAGGGTAGAGAAGGGGGGTAAATACAAAAATACACCATTTTAATTTTGTAATATTTTTTATTTATTGCTTAGATGGGTGGACGAGCTCACAGCCCACCTGGTGTTGAGTGGTTACTGGAGCCCATAGACATCTATAACGTAAATGCGCCACCCACCTTGAGATATAAGTTCTAAGGTCTCAATATAGTTACAACGGCTACCCCACCGTTCAAACCGAAACGCATTACTGCTACACGGCGAGGTGGTGGTACCTACCTGTGCGAACTCACAAGAGGTCGACAAGTCTTCTTTATTGACTTGTTTAAGTTCAGCAGGCACTATGACAAAGCTTTAAGTTCGATAAGGTCGATGATGGGCTCGAAGAACTTATCAAATTGTTGTTAAATTGGGTAATTAAGCAGATGTAGTCCTTGATGCAAAAAGGAACATCGCCACTCTGTTCTGTGTGAACCATAACCTGGTTTAGTATGTGGTTATCGTGACTGTCATAAATAAGGACAATGTCAGGGCACAGACAATCTGATGCTGCGGAAAATTTGAGCTGGCCACACTAACGAACATTTTAAATTTTTGTTGCATGACAACACTTTTGAATTCGACTTGTGTATGCATATCTCTTATGTCACTTTAATTACATGAGATTGGCAGGTAGTTTTTTTTTTAATAATTCACAATTCCCTTTTCAATTGTTTACATCATTAAGCTTGACTGCCCATTCTTCCTCCGTGCGGCGTATTCCTCAGTTCTGAGAGTCGTGACCTTTACTGAGTACTTTTGTTAGGACTATGTTCCTCCATTCACTCCTGTCCTCCGCGCAGTGGATAGCGACATTGATGCTGGCCATTATAAAAACTAAATTGCTATGGAACCCTGATCATCTGGTTCTAAGAAGCATGGCGTAGTGAGAAATATCATGGAGGGAACTTCATTTGAGAGTAAGTACGTGAAAACAAAGATCTTTGGGAATGTGGACAACCACTCCAGTAGGGACAATTGATGCTTACATCTCCGTAGCTCTGTGAGGTATAGTAGGTGGCAGTTCTGAGAGCATCTTCTCCCTGCAGTCCACTATACCCTCAGGAGTGCAGCGACAGGGAGGCGGGCAGCGGGGCTCCGCCGAGCATTCCCCAGACGAAGCTGTTGTAGGTCCTGTCAATAAAAGATGATGCAGAATAGTAAAGGACAAGATTGAGTGCTTTTGTTATTGGTCTACTTGGATCACGGCCCACTTGGTGTAAAGTGGTCCATAGACATCAAGAACGTAAATGTCGCCACCCACCTTGAGATATGGGTTCTAGGGTTTCAGTATAGTTGGCTGCCCCACCCTTCAAACCGAAACGCATTACTGCTTCACGGCGGAAATAGGTGGGGTGGTGGTACCTACCCGTGCGGACACCACCCGCAGGACCACTACTACTACCACCAGTACCAAAAGGTAGGACTACCAGCAGTACCAACGTAGGCATTTTCTGTTATATGAGTATTATGTTCGGAAATATACGACCATGTGTCTATCAGACGTCCACTGCTGAACATAGACCTCCCCAAGTCTCACCACAACGACCGGCCTCGTGCTGCCTGCGTCCAGAGGATACCCGAGACCTTCAACAGGTCCTCGATCCACCTCGTAGGAGAAATATCCCCGCTACTTCTCTAAGCCTGTTAGTTTGATATGCCACGTTAAGAAGTGGTGATGCCTATATCAACTTACCACTGCAGATGAGTTCGTGAGGCTCCAAGTCGGTCAGCAGCGAGCCACGCAGAGCTGCAGGAGCTTGACACCTGGAAAACGTGCAAAACGACATTTCAAATTGCGTTATTTCTATGGTGATTTTTCTTAGAAGTCCTCGTGGATTGAAGGTTTTATTTATTTATTGCTTAGATGAGTGGACGATCTCAGAGCCCACCTGGTGTTACGTGGTTACTGGAGCCCTTAGACATCTACGACGTAAATGCGCCACCCACCTTGAGATATAAGTTCTAAGGTCTCAAGTATAGTTACAACGGCTGCCCCACCCTTCAAACCGAAACGTGTGCCTGCTTCACGGTAGAAATAGGCAGGGTGGTGGTACCTACCCGCGCGGACTTCACAAGAGGTCCTGCGATTGCGATTCAGTCCGTATTCGAATCCCGCAGACAGGTTTATAGTGTACGCACAACATCTATGAGGAATAAAATCGTGCAGCAAAAATCAAACCCTAAATATTAATGAAGCGTAACTAGTGGAAGGTACCACAATCCTTCCGATTTGAAGGGTGGGACAACGTTGACATCTCCGTCTCAAGGTGGATGGTGGAATAAGGGTGGGCAGTGAAAACTCGACCCATTAATGCAATAAAGAAACGTAATCGGACATTGTTCAAAACCCGGGAATTTTCCGGTAAACTGCCTGTTAATGGGGTCCTTTTGTTCAGAGAGCGGCTTAGCTGTGCCATATGCATTGCTGACGTCATTGAAAATAAAATTTAGTAGACGTAAAATTTAGGGTTATGCCAAAGTAACTATTCTACGCGGACGGAGTCGCGGGCAAAAGCTAGTCTAATAATAAACGCAAAAGTCGCCTTTAAGACACCTACACGAAGAGATGAGGGCACTTTTCTAAAAGTACCCTACACAATTGATATTTCAGTAACAATTTAGACGTTTACCAATCTGTGGTCCACTCACCTCGCGCCGACACCCATGATCCCAGCAGACCGGACAGCTGTGGACAGTCTTGCGACGCGACAGTCGCAGACAACCGGATTGTCGCTCAGCCGCAGCGTGCTCAGTCGCGAGACGGTGACCGGTTCCAACGACAAATACGTTAGGTTGTTGTTATTTAAAGTCCTGACGACAATTGTTAAGATGATAGTTAACTTTACTTCCTCATGTAATAAAGCGGGCGCAGGAAAATTTATGTTTATTGACTTCCATTGGCTGGTGACCATCATCATCTTTCTCGACGAACCCATTGCTTGTGACGAAGGGCTCGATGAGTAAATTAACCCACAGACACAGCCCATTGAGTTCCTTGCCGGATCTTCTCAGTGGGTCGCGTTTCCGATCCGGTGGTAGATTCTGCGAAGCACTGCTCTTGCTAGGGCCAGTGTTAGCTACACTTCGGTTTGAGCCCCGTGAGCTCACCTACACGTTAGGGTGAAGCTGATATAGCCTCTCAAGGCTATTAGCATAGGTAGGGGAAAAAAAAGCTGTCGTCATTTCCTAATCTTATAACCTGTGAAATATGAAGAAGCTCACTCACAGAACTTCCAGGCTTTTCAAATTCTCCAGAGCTTTCTCGTCGATGCATTTCAGCTGGTTCCCGTCGAGGTGTAGACTCTTCAGAGCGGTCAACCCTCGGAACGTGCGGCGACTGATCGCTGTCAACTCGTTTCGGCTCAGATCTCTGATAGATAGCATCGGTTCTTGTTAATTTTGGCATAAAAAATAAAAATAAACTACCCACTCCAATAACGGTTCCAAGTTAAAAGCGATTTGGCGTGTTATTCTGCTAAAAACGCACAGTCGCAAGGAATCAACGCTATACGAACAATGATGAAGTAATTTCAAATTCTCTTATAATCGTCTTCTCGCATTAAAACTGTGTATGCGCTGCTGCTATATAATCCCAAAACTTACTAATTTTACAGGAGAGTGTTTTAAAGGTTTAACATGCGATTTTTTTTATATTAATCATCTTTGCAACTGTATTTTTTTTATTTTTTTACCAGTTACATTATCTGTATTTTAAAGTAAAATAAAATTATGTATTAATTTAGTTAATAGTAATCAAAAATTAGGTAAACTAAAAAGAAAAAACTAGACTACGCTCTTTTGACAGTATTTATGAGAAAAATACTGATGATACCAAATGATCACGCATATTAACTCAATTTCGAATATTTTTGGAAATTGTACACTTTTAAAGCGAAAAGATGACATAGCTTATTTAACAGGATACACGCCTCAATAAAATTTTATTGATGAAGTTATACATGAAGATTTACAACGAAAATTAGTTGGATTAAATATCTCTGAGCACAGGGGTGGTTCAACAGTGTAAACATTTAATAACGAAATGCGAGGGGTTAATAACTAAACAGTTCTAAGAATAGAAGGGAAAATTAATTTGGAAAGAAACAATGTACCGTTGAAAGATGTGTTCGCTCACAATTTGCCTTAACGGGAGATGGAAAAGGACATTGGAACACCCAAGCGTTATAAGAAGAATTACCAAACTAAAGTGGCATAAAACACATTGGTACCGATTTGGAGCCGATTAGGCCTTTTATGGTCCGATATTTTAGTTGCCAGATCATCATCTGATCGGTGGTATGTGGGCGTCGAATAGAAATAGATAGAGCTCCGAAAAGCTATGGTTCAAATGGAGGTCAGTAGCGCAGGACTGGACTTTGTGTTAAGCCTTGGGAGATGGCCAGCAGTGGAGGTCTTTTGCGACATCATGATGCCGTTACAAAACATTTACGCTGTACTACAGAAGGGCTGCATGAATTGGGGTGAAGTTGAAATTTAGCAAGGGTTGATTATCAAGAACTACGCTTCGAATTACTTTGAGAAGTTCCAGAGTATAAATGTGGGGCTTTCGAAAAACGATTAAACTTTGTGGAGAAATTAGCGAAAAGTACTAAGGTATTTGTATCTTCTTTGATTATCGTGAGTCGTAGATATGATTTAAGATATTTTTACAGTTCATTCTTTTCAATCTCTGATCACGTTCGTCCTTTATTCTAAGCATCTGAAATGATATAGTGACAATTAGACTGGGTAAAAGTACTTTTCATTAAACACCCTTTGTCCAATTTACGAGCAATTGGCTTGCAGAGATTACGGTACACACATATTAATTAAGTTTTATAAGCACTAAAATGTTCGTTTACATATTTGGACGTGGGGGTTAACTGATGAAGTGGAAAGTTAAGGGTTGTTTCTTATAGCCGACGCTTCGATGTTCTGTTTAGCACGCGTTCTACAAGGACCCAGCGTTCTTTCTAAGTGTAGGTTAGCTAATTACAGCAGGCTTTACTAGCTTGGTTTATTTACAATATTGCAGGATTAGAAACCCCTCGAATGGAATTGGTTAGTGACAACATTAAGCTGCAGTGGCCTGACTGATAAGACGTCCGGTGCATTCGAAACGATGCGACCGTCCAGATCCAGTAGGTGGGTACCGATTTATTCAAGGAAATACATCGTACCTAATAAGCACGATATAGAAAAATGTGCTAAAATTAGCTACAGCAAAGATTTTCGTGGTACGCCCGTATTGGTTTTTTTCTTTAAGCTTAGAGGTGTGAACGAGCTCACGTGTTAAGTGGTTACTGGAGTCCATAGATATTCAGAACGTGAATGCCGCCACCCACATTGAGACGAGTGTCCTAAGTCCCAGTTCTTAAATATTGCGACCCGTCACAGCCAAAATCGGCAGAGTGGTAGTGGCTATCCGTGCAGGATCATACGACGCTTTGTCAATTTTTATTTATTTTTTATTGCTTAAGTGGGTGGACGAGCTCACAGCCCTCATGGTGTTCAAGGGTTACTGGAGCCCATAGACGCATAACGCATAGTAATGCATTTTTGGTTTACAAGCAGTAGCTTCACGGCAGAATTGCTTTAAGGTTGAGCCCGTCAGCTTACCTACCCATCCGCGCGTAGCTTAAATAGTCTCGCAGGCTACAAGCAAATAGGTAGGAAAAAAAAGTTGCACAGATCCGGGAATATAAAACCACAATTTTACTCGGACTTTTTTTCTCAATTTCAAATTAATCAACGTCATCACATTTCGTTTCATATAATTCATATAATTTTCCATATTATACCAGAATGCAAGAAGAAAATATAAAACTTGACTTAAAGGTCTCGTTATAAGGACATCAAATCGTAAAAAAAAGCCGACTTAAAAGTTATGATGCAATAATTTCTTAACGTTAATCTTAATTTCAGACATTACTACATTTTGGATTCGAAATATAAGTTGGCTGTTGATAAATCAGGTATTACTGAAGATGGTTACGGCAATAACTTGAGCGCTTTTGATATTAAATTCAGTGGATCAAATATTTACAGAGCGTTTCGTATCCAAATCACCTAGCTTCATCGAGCCACGAAACTTTGGATGCGGTATAACCGTTGCTTGTTATTTAGTTATTTATTATTATTATTTTGAAGTCGTCGTGACCTAAAGGATAAGACGTCCGGTGCATTCGTGTTGAGCGATGCACCGGTGTTCGAATCTCAGGCGGATACCAATTTTTCTAATAATACGTACTGAACAAATGTTCACGATTGACTTCTACGGTGAAGGAATAACATCGTGTAATAAAAATCAAACCCGCAAAATTATACTTTGCGTAATTACTGGTTTTAGGACCTCTCGTGAGTCCGCGCTGGTAGGTACCACCACTCTGCCTATTTCTGCCGTGAAGCAGTAATGCGTTTCGGTTTGAAGGGCGGGGCAGCCGTTGTAACTATACTGATACCTTAGAACTTATATCTCGAGGTGGGTGGCGCATTTACGTTGTAGATGTCTATGGGCTCCAGTAACCACTTAACACCAGGTGAGCTGTGAGCTCGTCTACCCGCCTAAGCAATAAAAAAAAAACGTTAGATACATGTTCCGTAATGGAAAAATCCACTGAGTTTCTCACTGGATTTTCTCAGTGGGTCGCGATCCGGTGGTAGAATCTGCGAAGGATTGCTCTTGCTAGGGCTAGTGTTAGCTAATTCTCTCAGGTTGAGCACGTGAGCTCATCTGCCAGTCCGTGAACTGTAATGTCTCCTTAGACTACCAGCGAATATGCAGCAAAATCTATATATTAATAACTGAAGCAAAAACTTTGTACCCCCTTTTAACGAAAATTGCGCGGACGTAGGAGTATGAAATTTCTCGCACTTATAGAGAAGGAGCGCAGAATGTTAATATTATTTTAAACTATGCGTAAAAATCCATTAAATCAATAAAAAATACATTAGACACACTACCATGTATTTGATACACACACGCATGCATACTATTATCATTATCATCTCCTTTTTATCATCGCACCTCCCGCCATCGGAGCAGAATTCATCCATATTATCTGGAAACGCTGCGTTCATCGACAGTGCGTTTCCAAAGATATTTTTTGCCACGTGCCATCCGGCTTTGGAATGAACTCCCCTCCACGGTGTTTTCCGAGCGCTATGACATGTCCTTCTTTTAACGAGGCTTGCGGAGTGTACTTAATGGTAGGCAGCGGCTTGGCTCTGCCCTTGGCATTGCTGACGTCCATGAGCGACGTTGACCACTTACCATCAGGTGGGCCGTATGCTCGTCTGCCTACAATGGCAATAAAAAAATTGCTTATTGTCAAACTTTTCTTATTGCTTAAAGTCTGTGGTCAAATTGAGAATAGATTAAATATTGTTATTAATATTTGTCTCAAGTGAAGACTTGGCGAAATCTGTAATCATAGAAGTATAATAAATAGTCTTTGACAATGGAATCATAATAGTATACAAGCCTATAGTTTCAGTTAATTATAACCGAATTTTGGTCAAACTTCGACTACGGGGGAGCACCAGTATATGTAGCGTGCAACACTCGGTCTCACTCGGGCGTCATCGGATGCGATCGGAGTTCCCGAACGCGCAGGTGTCCCGTGACGTCATGCAACGAGATTCGCGCGCGTCAATTTAAGTTGAATTTAAAAACGTAATTTTAGTTTCAATTCATATCCTGTAGTGCTTAACGTTGTTTACTCTTTTTAGTATATAATATATATAATGTGTACAATGTTATAAATTTTGTTGAATTGGTGTGTTTGACTTTTATATGATCGGAGTAAAATATCCCGCGAATGCGAGGGACAAATAACAACAATAAAATATATTAAAATACCAAAATCCAGTCATACGGTTGAAATGTTAATTGTATTGTTCAGAAGCTTATGTTCCACTATCTTGCGGCTTATGAAGGCTCATCATTAACGCTGACACCAATAAATTCGACAATAAATAGATTTTGGCAGCATAATTTTATTAGATCTTGTTGAAGTGAAAACTTCTTTAGAATCGTTGTGATTTCAAACCGGATGCAACGGAAAAAACGACAGGTAAGAGACACAAATACAAAAATGTGTAGGATGAAGCCAGCAAAGAATGAGACAGAAATATACATACTATTTAATACAGCGCCATCTGTGAGATTTTTTTAATACTAACGTGTGTATGAAAGCTCTTGTAGTGAATTTTAATTTAGGATTATACGTGAAATTAAAATATCAATTCACAGAGGGCGCTACCTTACAATTATTTACTAATGACAAAATTTTACATATACTTAAGACGTTTAGGATAATTGTATTTTAATTTTGGAAGGTTTCACTTCTACCACGTGTGAATTGCACA